AACAGCAAAAAAATCATAAGGAAGCTCTCTGTATACGAATAGAAAAATATCTCCAAGATATGTATCTCCTCCCCACACCCTTCTCCCCACGAGCAACTGTTTTTTCTCTGTGTCTATAACTCTGTTTTTGTTAGGTTTGTTCGTTTTATTTTTTTAGATTCCGCATGTAAGTGAACTCATGTAGTGTTTGTCTTTCTCTGTCTGACTTATTGCTTTTGGCATAGTACTAAGTCCATTCATGTTGTCACAAAGGCCAGATTTCATTCTTTTTTGTGGCTGAGTAATTCTCCATTGTATGTATATAGTCTCTTGACTGTGACAATTTCTTCTACTTGCCTTGTTTTTGATGATGTTGACAGTTTGGAGGAGTATAGTTCAGGAGTTTTGCATCACGTGTCGCAACTGGGATTTGTCTGATAGTTTTCTTATGATTAGACCGGAGCCTAATCTTTAAAATAAATATTTATTATTTATTTATTTACTATTCATTTTTGGTTGCAATGAGTCTTCATCCTTGCAAGCAGATTGTCTCTAGTTGTGGCAAGCAGGGGATACTCTCCGTTGCAGTGCACAGGCTTCTCACTGCAGTGGCTTCTTGTGTTGTGGAACATGGGCTCTAGAGCACAGGCCCTGTAGTTGTGGCCCACGAGCTTAGCTGCATCCTTGGCATATAGAATCCTCCCAGACCAGGGACTGAATCTGTGTCGCCTACCTTGGCGGGTAGATTCTTAACCGCTGAGCCACCAGGGAAGTCCTGGGGTTTGCGGTTTGGGGGAAGGAAACCATAGACATAAAATGTCATTCTCATCACATCATATCAAAGGGATATTCCAACCACGTGGCTTTTCTCTCTTGATGTTAACCTTGATCATCTGCCTGAAGTCGAAGGTCCTATTTGTCAGATATTTTTTTGGCCATGCTGCACCCCTTGTGCGTTCCTAGTTCCTAGTTCGGCAGTGAAAGCACAGAGTCCTAACCACTGAAGCACCAGGGAAGTTCCAGGTTTCTCTACCTTGAAGGGACTCTTTTCTCTCAGTTTCCACCCTGTCCCTCTTTGGAAGGAAGTCACTATGAGTTGCCTACACTTAAGATGTGGGGGAATTACACTTGACCTTTGACATATTCCCATCATTGTGTATTTTGTTTTTGCTAATTTTTTTTTTAAAACATTTCCGTACTTTCTGGCACTCAGGATGCTCGGGGCTCCTCCTGTATATTTCTTGTCACACCCTCCACCCTATTCCTAGATTTAGACATTCCTTTCTCACTTTTCTTGTGATGAGAACTTTTAAGATCTATAGTCTTAGCCATTTTCAAATACACAACACAGTATTATTATTATTTTTTACAACACAGTATTATTAACCATAGTCACTGTGCCATATGTTACATCTGCATGACTTTTTGTTCTTTTTTTATTTCTTTGGCCAACCCATGCAGCTTTCGGGATCTTAGTGCCTTGAGCAAGGATTGAACCCTGGCCCATGGCAATGGAAGACTGAAATTCTAACCGCTAGACCACCAGGGAATTCCTTCCGGCATGTGTTTGTCACTGAAGTTTCTTCCTTTTGACCACTTTCACATATTCCACTCAGTCCTCATCCCCACCTCTGGCAACCACCAATCTGTCCTCTGTATCTATGAATTTTTTTGTTTTTTTTTCTTTTATGTCAGACAGGTAATGTGCCGATGTCGTAACAAGGTTTGGAGGGAGGCACATGTCACGCAGCAGTGTGAACACCCAATCATCATGCTCATGAACTACAAAAGGATCTATGAGTTGTTTTTTAAGTAATTTAAAACATTTTTTTAGATTCACACATGAGATCATCCTGTGTTTGTCTTTCTCTGAGTTATTTCATTTAGCACGGTGCCTGCAAGGTCCATTCCTCTTGTTGCAAATGGCAGGATTCCTGGTCTATTTTGACCCCACTTTCTCAGAGAAGAGAGGAAGAAACTCCAGAGCTATTCTGGGGGACCTATGTTCCCCGACATGACCTCGTCTTTGCAATACAGATAGAGGCCAAAGAGGGGGTCTGAAGGGAACGGGGATAGCAGCTGTGGAAAGGGGTAGTGAGTCACCCCGAGGTAAACTCTACCACATGACCTCAGTCACAGGCATCCAGCGCGTGCTGAGCAGGGTGCTGGCAGCATGGTCTCAAGCCCTTCCCCAGCAAAACACTGCCGTGAGCAGAGGAAGCTCCCCATGCTGAGGACCAGAGAAGAGCAGAAAGTGTGATTATAGACCATCTCTGGTGATGGCAGAGATGGCATGGGAATGGCCTCCCAGGCATTGGTGGAGAGGGGAGTCAGGGGGTAGGGAGGCAAGTGAATTTGAACTGATTGAGTCAGAAGGAGTGGTCAGGGTGTGCATGCAGAGGGCAGATTTGACCACCAAGAGGAGGGAGCAGCCAGGCCTGGCCATAGCTGGGGGGCGGGTGGGAGGGGGGACGACTTCTGTTTTAGAGTTTGGGTTTGGAGGAATGTGATGAAGGTATGTTTGCAAGCATGTTGAATGCATGCGTAAATTAGATATATTTATTCAGTGTATACTGGTTCATCTCACTTCTCTAGTACAGCACAGTCATGTGGTCAAACTCTGAGGGTGCCTCTCACATCTTAATTGGGGTGAATGGTGTCCCCTTGGGTTGTTCAGAGCACAGACTATATATGGGGTTCTGCTCAGCATGGTGACAACGGAGGCAGAGAGGGTAGGGGGTCCCTGGAGGAAAAGAACCAGATACTGTTTTTTAACATAAGATAAGTCATTTTGAGCCTAAACTTATTTTGTGACCTTGGCCCGGCCACAATGCTTGCCCTTGAGTAGGTCTCAGTAATGATGGTCTTAGGGGAATGGAAAAACAAATGACTCATGAGGCAAGATTAGTAAGAATGGCTAATCAGTTATAAATTATGATTTCCAGTTCTGTTTCACTGGTAAATATTAGCCCGAAGTGCTCAACCATCAGCTCTACAGAAATGTATGGGATGACAAGGTTGACCTTTTCTGACCCCTGGTGACTTCAACTGAAGACTGTCCTCTGTTAACCTTTGCCATAATTCCAGACAGAATTCTCCTCCTCTCAAGCCCCTTCATGCATATGCATATACCCTCAGTTTAAAACTTCCAATAAAAAATGTAAAAATTACTTTTTAAACTTAAACACAAAAACAAAACAAAGAGAAAACTTGTCCAATTTTGCTGTTTGGGGTGACACAGCTTTGGGAAAGATCTCTGGTGTTCTCCTTATTTGCTGCAAGTAATAAATCCTTCTGCTCTTTGAGTTGGTTGTGTCTTTTGGCTGAGCATCCACTAAGAGGGGAACCCAGTTTTCAGGTGACAATGAGAGCTTTACCATCTGTGGGAAGCACAGTGCTTCACTCTCTTAATCTTAGTCATCCATACAGCACCCCTCTGAGACAGGCACTATCACCCCCATTTTTTGGGGGGATTATGCCCCATGGCTTGCAGGATCTTGGTCCCCAGAGCAGGGAGTGAACCCCAGCCAAGGCAGTGAAAGCCTGGGATCCGAACCTCTAGGCCATCGGGGAACTCCCTGTCACCCCCAATTGACAGATGAGAAAAAGGAGACTGCTAGAGAAATAAAATAACTTGCCAAGGCCACCCAGCTAGAAGATGGTGACCTCTCCCGCTGGGGTAAGGGATGAGGAAGGGGTGGGGTCAGCATCTCACTGGGCTCCCTAGAACCAACTGGGGCTGCCTGGTCCTCTCAAAAACTCAAGTTTTCCAGCCTCTCTCCAAACGATCCCTGCTCCCACCTAGGGACCTTAGCTCCTTAGCTGCTCCGAAAAGAAAAGGTGGTGGTGGAAGACAGGGTGGAGGAATCAGTCTTTAAGACCCTTGTTGACAGACTGTGACCTCTTTCTCAGACAAGACTGCAGAGACGAGAGGATGGGAGAGGAGGGTGGCAGGGCTGGAAAAGATGGCTCGGAGGCGATGGGGGAGGCAATGGAGATGGGTGGTTGTCACAAAGGAGACAGGGGGCAGGGCTGGTGCTGGGAATTGGTCACCAGATCCAGGAAGACTGGAATCCCACCCCCACCCCTAAGCCTAAGAGGAATGGGTGGGTTTAGTGCAAACAGAAGGAAGCCTCTGGGCTCTTAGTGCAGGAGGAAACGAAGCCAGCTACCCTTGGAAGCTGAAAGTACACAGAGCCGGGACGGATTCCAATTCATTGGAGGTTTGGATTCGTTAGACCCTATTCTAAAGGAATTTAGAGGCTGTCTCTATGCAAGAGGCTGCAAAGCTCCCAAGCAGAGTTACCCGGGGTGGGGCGGCTGGGGTGGGGGGCGCGGGGGAGAGCCATGGGGAGATCTGGAAGGTCGAGAGAAGTGCAGCTGGGGGCACGGCTGGTGGTGTCAGCCTTCCCGCTGCAGCAGGCTGGGGTCTAGGGGCGGGAAGCTGGAGGCGTCTGAGGCAGGGACTCCAAGGTCAAGGACTGGTGGACTAAGGATCCCGCCATCCTTCCGGTGAGGACAATAGCCACGCAGCAGTTTTTAAACAATAGGGGTGATTTGAATTTGAATACCTTTTAAGGCAGGAATGAAACTAATCTGTGGCCACAGTCCCCCACCCATCCCCAGCCACACATCCAGGAGGCTCCGTGCATTTCTTTGACTGGCTAACTCCTGTAGGGTTTTTGAACTCTGAGACAGCAGCAGTGCCATCTTTGGCGATTCCAGTCTGAGGCAGGAGATGGGAGGGGATGCTCGGTGTCTGGCGGCTCAGCTCTCCCCTAGGATGCTGCTCCGGGTACCACGCTGTGATAGGGCATTTCTTGCCTTTAGCATCCCCGACACTGCCCATAAATGCCAACAGCGCCCTCTAGTTTCTGTGACGATATCGCTTTTCCAAACGCCTCCTGGACAGGGGAGTGGTACCACCTCAACGGAGAGCTACTGGGTTCCCCCTTTTTGGTGCTGAAGAAACGACTTACACCCCCGCCAGCCTCTTCCTGACGTAGAGACACAGAACCCAGTGGCATGTGTTGTTCATTATAATAATGCCCCCCACACCCAGTGAGGGGGAGGAGGGAGGGGCCGTGAAACAGGGGAGCCTGAACAGGGTGGAGAGCGTGGACCACCTCCCCAGCCGGGGACACTGGGGAAAGTGTCACTTAACCTGTAGTGAAATATGCTTGGAGAGGGAGGAAACTGTGGAGTAAATCCAGCCACCGGAAGTCTGGTTGGGGTAAAAGAAAAACACTTTGAATGGGGAGGATGGGCCCGGAGGCCCGCTGATGGAGTAAGCCTGGCATCCGGGGTCCATTCCATCAGCAGAGACGCAGAGCTGAGTGCCACAGGGAGTACACCGACCCCAGGCCAGAAGCCCTGGGGGCTGGTGGTGGTGCTGATGGTGCTGGTGGTGGAAGGAAGTCGGGCTCCTGCAGTCACTCTAACCCCACATAGTTATTTCCAGCCACTGTGGGGTGAGAAGAACGTCAGAAGATGGGCGAGGTGGGGGTGGGGCACGATGTCCGTGGAGAGGGAAGGGTCAGCGCAGCCATGGGTGGGGGTGCCTGAGATCCCTTGCATGTACCTGGTTCAGGTCCAGGGAAATCTGGCCGGTGTTCTTAGGGTCCATGGTTAGAAAGTACGCTGTTTCCGGGAGGAGGCAGAGGGAGGAGGGTTGGGAGGTGAGTCAGTGGTCACCCATTCTCAACTAGGGCAGAGGTCAGAAAGGGTATCCCCCTTTCCAGCTACATCCCCAGTCCAGTAGGGAGTTAATGATGAGGACTCCTTCCTAAAGCCTTGCTCTGAACCACGGCCAGTTCTGAGTGCTCTCCAAATACTATCTCATTTAACCTCTACAGTCGTCCTATGCAGGCAGCACTGTTATCTACGCTTAAAGGCACAGAGAGATACAGTGACTTGGTCAAGACAACAGAGCCCACAAGTGGTGGGGCCGGGATGTGAACCCAGATTGTCTGCGCCCTGTGGAGGGGAGTGTTCTAGAGCAGTAATTCTCATGCGGGTATGCGGGAGAAGGCTGGTGGGCCAGTGGCCCGGGCTGGGGTGTGGGCAGGTGCCCGCCTGACTCACTGAACATGGCCTTCAGCCTCAGGAAACAGCTGATGAAGCTGTCAAAGTCCATGATCAAGTCGTCATTCGCATACCTAGCCACCAGCACCTGTATCACCTTGTTGTTCAGTTTGATGCCTGGGAGAGAGAGGGGTGCAGAAGGAGAGAGTCCAGCCCTTTGGCTGCTGCCTCCCCCGCCCCAGCCCCCAGCCCCTGTCCTGCCCCTAACCCACCTGCTTTCTCAATTGCCAAGCGCATCTCATAGGAGTTCAAGGTGCCTGACTGGTCCTGGTCACACTCTCGGAAGATGTCCTGGAGTGACAGGCAGTTGCGGTAGGGCTGTGTGCAGGGCTCAATGCTTCGCAAGGGGTGAAATGCTTTACAACCCCTACGCAAGCCCCCAGGGACCCCCTGCTGCGTCCCCCGCTGGCCCACACCTGAGCGCCCATATTCCTACCGCCTGGTGACCGCAGAGCTGGTTCCTGGCACCCTGCCCAGGGCTCTCTGCCTGTATTCTTTATGTTAGTTGATACCTAGACTCTGCTGGTTATTGAACATCTTTTTTTTTTTTAGCCACATTGCAAGGTAGGGATCTTAGTTTCCTGACCAGGGATCCAATCCACACCCCCCTCCCTGGAAGAAGTCCCAACCACTGAGACTGTCAGGAAAGTCCCGGGAACTTTTTGACTATTTCATATGGCAACATGTCAACAACTCCATCCCAGGGTGTGTGTGTACACGTGTGCGTCTAGTCAGGGGCTCCTGTTACAGTTTCATCTTTGTTAGACTTTCTAGTCCTCATTCCTCACAAGGACCTCTCTCAACCCCATAAATTGCCCCCTCAATGCCCTTTACCGTCCATTTCTTGATTTTTCTCCATAGAACCTGAAACTCCCGAAGCCCCAGTTTGCCAGAGCCATCTTTCTGAGAGGAGAGGCAGTCAAGGATATCAGAGGAGGGGGTGGGGAGGACATCCCAGGGGCTAGGAAGCAGAGCGGCTCATGGAGGTGGGGACCAAGACCGAAGGGTCCTGTAGGTAACTGTGGTAACAGCCAGAAGAACTGGCATCTTTCGTCACCCCAGAGCCTAATCCCCACCCAGGAGGGCATGACTGGCCAGAGAGGTGGCCACCTTGGGGCCAGGCTCAGGGGTAGGGTGCTGGGGCGGGATAGCACTGGGCAGGCTGGCCCACTGACGGGAAGATACATCCAAGAGGTTGATCATGCAGCGGCACACGTCCAGGCTGAAGCCATTGGTTTTTAAGTTTTTGACTGTGAGGGAGGTAGGGGGCAGAAAGAAGGGGACGGGTGAGCTGAGTGTGGCTGGGATGCGGGGAGGGACAGGGGTTGATTAAGGGAATGATTGTAGGGGGTGGAAGACTCACATCTGGAGACCACCTTGTTGAGCAGCTTCTGTAGCTCATACTTGCCTATCTCCTTGCCCTAGGAAGGGGGACCATAAACTCTCGCTCTGGCCCCTTCAGCCCCCAGTCACCTCCTTTCAGCACCCCAGACCTCTGCCTCTCACCTCTCCACCTGCCACTATGTGAAACAAACGTATGAAGTCCGGGTCTATGTCATTCTCAGAGATCCTCTCCTGGAGGGAAAGGGGTGGGAGAGGGACACGGTCCAGAGTGCTCCTTCACACCCCAACCCACACGTTCTGCCTCGAATCCCCCAACTCCGTGGCCTCCCCTCACCTCTTGGAGAAGCTCAGCGTAGTTGGCTTCATCCAGTTCCCTGGGCAGAAGTGGATGAAGGCGTGGAATTAGCAGGGGTTCAGGGAAACAGGGACTCCAGTGGGAAGGGTGGGGAGTTCATGTGTGTCTGAAGCAATAGGAAATGGGTGCCATGGGATTGGGGTTCCAATTCTGACTCTGCTACTACCTTGGACTTCCCTGCCTCGTGCCTCAGTTTCCTTGACTGTAAATTAGGGACAGAGTGTCCGGGGGTGGGTACTACCAGATGACTGATCCCTGAGCATGACATCCTACAGCTCGGGGTGGAAGGCAGGTGGCCTTGGAGCAGTGAGGTGGGGCCCCTCACCAGGTCTCGCTGTGCTTCTCAGTGAAGACCCGAAGCAGGAAGTCGGCGTCCTTGTGCGGCTCAAAGGTGGAGGGGATGATGATGTACTCCCCTGGGGGCAGCTGGAACTGGCTGCTCACCTCCCTTGAGTTGGTGAAGATCTCCGAGAAACCCAGGTCCTGGTACTTGACGAAGAAGTCCTTTTTCAAGTGGACATCCTGGAGGTTCTGAAACTGTACATGCCCTGCAAGTGGGTCCAGGGTCTTCGGGGGGAGGGCAGGGAGAGGGGGACCCCCACAGTGAGGCCCAGCTGGGCAAGGTTAGGGGGACACTGTCCAGCTGGCAGGTAACCCCAGTGTGGTCGTTTCCTTCCCTGACTCCCACCCAGGGCCCAAGGTGGCTGGAACCCTGACCCAGCGGCCCCCAGAGCCCTTCACCGAATTCCACCCCTGGCCCATCTACACGCAGCCAGGTATGGGGTGGGTGTCTGCCAGGCATCAGGCCCCTCATCTTCAGTACCTCCTTTGGGATCTGGGAAGGGAAGAGAAAGGAGGGTCAGATCCCCAGGATGGGTAAGGGGCTCAGGTCCGTGGAAGCCAGGCTGTATGTGTGTGTGTTGCGGGGGCTGCTAATAAGGGCCCTGGGACACCAGTGTGGGGAGGCGCGTGGGATCTAAGAGCTGTTAAGTCCCAGCTTTAATAACCTTTCCTTTTGCTTTGGACAGCAAAGTATGGTTTACGCCAAGTTTTGCCAAGGGGATATTTTATCACTTCGGGTTAAGGATGGGAAAGGAAATCCCCCAGAGGTGGTAAACTAACTCGCCCAGCCCCACACTTCTGAGCAGTGGGAGAACTGGGAAAAAACACGGGAAGAGCATTTTCCATGGAGTGCTCATTTCCCCCAGGAAGTTCATAGAAACCCAGGAATGAGCACAGAGAAGTCTATAAAAAGGTGACTTAAGCCAAGATAAATATGTTGCTCTCCTGCAGAAATATAGGTTCCTGCAGAATTAATATACTAATGGCCCAGGGGAGCTCTGGGTGGGTGTAGAGAAGGTAGCCTTTCTGGGAGGGGTCGCATCTAACCTTAGAAATGGCTTCGGGTATATCTGTCAACCTGGGGGACACACAGCCTAGGAGTAGGGCGGGGCTCAAATCTGCTTTTGTTCATGATTGAGCATACAGTAGGTGCTCATGGATACTGTTGACTATGTAAGTGAAAGGACAAATGGGCGTTTCTAGGATTTTGCAAGGCACAGTTTGGGAAACACTTGTCAGGGGTTTTTCCTGGCCAGACTCCATGCTCTTGGTGGGGTGGCTATGTGGAGGTTTGGGGGCTGTGGTGAAATCTCTGTGTCGAAACCGGTATGAGCTTGGACTTGACCTTGCCTCTGGCTCCCAGTCTCCTTCTTTTTTATTAAAGGCGTTACCATTTGAAAAGCCCTTGGAACAATGCCTGGCACAGAGGAAGTGCTCCCTAAGTGTTTTTTTTTTTTTTACTTCTTGGTTACACCACGTGGCATGTGGGATCTTTGTTCCCAACCAGGAATAGAACCGGTGCCCCCTGTGCTGGACCACTAGGGAAGTCCCTACTTAAGAGGTTTCGATTTAAAAAATTTGGAATGAAAACTGTCAGCCCTGCCTTAAAAGCTCAACACACTACTCAAGAAAAAGCCAGGGCAGGGGGTTGGGGGGGAGGGATAAACTAGGAAACTGGGATTGATATACACACACTACTGTAAATACAATAGGTAACTAATTAGAACCTGGCTTCCCCAGTGCTCAGCGGTAAAGAAACTGCCCCTAGTGCAGGAGACAAGGCAGGGGTAATGGGGTGGATTCCTGCATCAGGGAAGATTCCCTGGAGAAGGAAATGGCAACCCACACCAGTGATCTTGCCTGGGAAATCCCATGGATGGTCCACGGGGTCACAGAAGAGCCAGACACGACTTAGCAACTAAACACCACCACCAATAAGGATCTACTGTCCATCACAGGGAACTCTACTCAATACTATGTAATGACCTATGTGGGAAAAGAGTAGGTGTGTGTCTATATACAACTGATCTACCTTTTTGTACACCTGAAACTAACACAACATTGTAAATCAAATATTCCAATTTTTTGAAGGGGGGGAGCGAAGAAGAAGGAGAGCTAGGGGTGCGGAGGTGGTTGAAGGGAGGGTGTCCTAGTCCTAGGGCTGTGGGGTGGGCAGTGATCCGGGGGGGTGAGGCCACTGCGGGAGCAAGAGTGACCAGGGGCCAGCTGGGCGCCCACCGAGTAGATGACAAAGCCGATGGTCTCCAGCTGGGCTCCGTGGGGCCTCGTCCTTCTCCAGTTCTTCTGCATCAGGGCCACCAGGCATGGGCGTGGGACTGACCAGAACTCCCCGTCCTCTTTCCGGTGCAGCAGCTGCCTCTGGACATCTGGGGCCACCTCCTCCCACTCCTTGGCGCTAGAGCAGAGACAGGTGGGGGAGCAGAGCTCGTTCCCCCCCAGGGCTCCCCTCACCCCTGAGCTACTTGAGAGTCCTGGTTAGATGGAGACTCTCTCGGTGGCATGGCCTTGTTCCGTGCGGGTGGGGCCCGCGGTGTGCTCTGCCCCTCCCCGCAAAGTGCTGGCGGGCCACCTACTTGTCACTCCAGGCTCCATTCCACTCAATCCGGCCCCAGGGATTCCGGACTCGGATCAGCGTTTCTGTCCTGCCTTGGTAGGAGACCTGGGTGGGTTGTGGGCAGAGGTCAGGGGTGTAGGGTCAGAGAAGTTCTCCTTCTCTCGCCCCTCCGGGTGGGGTTGCAGAGGTCAGACTCACGTCCTGGAGGCCCGTCACTGAGTAAGCATGTCCTTTCACCAGCATACCCTGTGTCAAGGACTCCAGCTCTCTTTCGCTGGTGACCTGCAGAACACAGAGGGCTCGAGAGGAACTCAGGAGCTGGTCAGGGGGACAGGGGTGCCTGAATACAGGTGACAACTCTCTGAGCTCCCTGTTTTAAAACTTATTTTTATTAGGGAAGAGTTGCTTTACAATGAATGTCGTGTTCGTTTCAGAACACGCCCATTCACACGCCCATTCACGGCGAAGTGAATCAGCTAGACGTGTACATATTATCCCCTCTTTTTAAGACTTTCTTCTTATTTAGATCTGGGTTCACTTTTTTTTTAATTAAACTTTGCCTTTTCTTTTTTTTAAACTTTGCCTTTTCAAATGCTTGCAGACTCACAAGCAATTTTAAGAAACGATACAGAGATATCCTGTGTGCCCCATGTCCCACATCCTACAGCGGTAACATCTTCTAAAACTGTAACACAGGGGCTTCCCTGGTGGTCCAGTGGTTAAAAACCCACCTTCCACTGCCCGGGACCAGGGTTCAATCCCTGGTTGTGGAACTGAGATCCCACGTACTGTCGGGCAACTAGGCCCACACCCCGCAATGAAGACCCAGCACTGTCCAAATAAAAAAAAGTACTTAGTTTTTAAAAACTGCTTAAAAAAAAAAAAGCTATAGCATGATATTAAGGTTTTTTGTTCTGTTTTATTATTTTAGCTATGCCATACAGCATACAGGATCTTAGTTCCCCAGCAGGGATTGAACCTGTGTCCCCTGCAGTGGAAGCGTGGAAGTCCCTATAGCACAAAATAAAAACCAGAATGAATATGTTGACACAATCTGTTGCTCTAATACAGATGTCTCTACTTTTACTAGTATTCACTTTTGTATGTTTTATGCATTGTTATCATATGTATAGTGTTCTGTATCTATCACCAGGGTCACAATACAGAACATTTCCATCACCGCTAACATCCCACATGTTGCCCTGTTATAGTCAACAATCACCTTTTATGAAGGTCTTCCCTAAGCTCTGACAACTCCTAATCTGTTCTCCATTTTTCAAGAATTTTGTCATTTCAAGGCCTTCCCTAAGTGGCTCAGTGGTAAAGAATCCAACTGCCAATGCAGGAAACACGGGTTCCATCCCTGATCTGGGAAGACCCCAAATGCCTCGGGCAACTAAGCCCGCCACCACAACTATGAAGCCTGTGCTCTAGAACTGCAGCTACTGAAGCCTGGGAGCCCTAGAGCTCATGCTCTGCAACAAAGAAAAGCTGCAGTGAGGAGCTTGTGCACCGTGACGAGAGAGTAGCCCCTGCTTGCTCCAACTAGAGAGTAACTTGCACAGCAATGAAGACCCAGCACAGCCAAAAATAAATAAATTAAAAAAAATTAATTTTGTCATTTCAACACTGTTATATAAGCAATCGTACAGTATGGAACCTTTGGTGATTGGCTTTTTTCATTCAGCAGAATTCCCTTGAGACTCCTCCAGGTTGTTGTGTGTGTCAATAGTTCATGTCTTTTTATTGCTGAGTAGCATCCCCTGAAATGTGTTCACTGCAGTCTGTTCAACTGTTCACCCGTTGAAAGGCATCTAAGTTGTTTCCAGGTTCTGGTTATTACAAATAGACCTGCTTTGAACATTTGGGCACAGGCTTTTGTGTGGACCTAAGTTTTCATTTCTCTGGGATAAATGCCCAAGAATGCAACTGCTGGGTCTTACAGTGACACCCTTGTGCTCAGTCACTCATTCATGTCTGACTCTTTGTGACACTTTGGACCGTAGCCTGCCAGGTTCCTCTGTCCTTGGGGTTTCCCAGGCAAGGATACTGGAATGGGTTGTCATTTCATCCTCCAGGGGTCTTCTCCACCCAGGGATTGAAACAGTCATTTGTGTCTCTGGCCTTGCAGGCAGATTCTTTACCACGGAGCCATCGGGGAAGCCTCACAGTGGCACTCTGGGTTTATTTATTTATTTGAACAACTATGTGTTGGGAATCTATTGTATTCCAAGTACCACCTTAAGTCCCAGGACCGGCAGTCAAAGAGACAAATAAGGCAGAAGACCTGGGTTTGATCCCCCACTCCAGTGTCCACTCCAGTGTTTGTGCCTGGGAAATCCCATGGACAGAGGAGCCTGGAGGGCTACAGTGCATGGGGTCGCAAAGAGTTAGACACACCTTCGTGGAATATGGAAACTGTCTGGAGAAGTTTGGTCATGAATATACACATTAAGAAGTATGACAGTTTCTGACTGTGATAAATGTTGGGGAAAAAAATCAAAACAAAGTAGAGAGGAAATCAGGGGTAGGAGCAGCTAACTGACATTGAGAGGCAGGGAAGACTAGCCTGAGGGAGGGGCACTGGCACCGAAATGTGAATGAGAAGGGGCTATTTATGCGGGTATCTGGAGAAAGAACATTCTAGGTGAAAGCAACAACAGGTGCAAATGCCCTGAAGCGAGACCAAGCATGGTTTACCTCGATGGAGCAGCCCATGAGGGAAGATCGCTCTACGGCCTTCCTAAGCATCCTCTGCAGGTTCCTAGGGGGATTCTGGAGTTGGAAGCTCTGTGTCACACCCCCCGTGAAGTCCTCAAAGCCTTCCACTGTGTTGCCCCCCGACAGCGCTTCATAGGACCCGTTCAGCCTGCGGGCACAGAGAAGGCACTGTCTGGGCTCTGTCTGGGAGGCAGCTGGTTGTGAGCTTGGACCTCAGAGGGGGCAGGGAGGGAAGTGAGGGATGCCCCGCGGTCCCCCTGCTTCCTCCCCTGATTCCAGGTGCTTCCGTCGCTGCCAACGGTCGGGGCAGGCTTGGAGGCCAGGCCAGTAGCTTGGCTAGGCACTCACTTGGCATATGCCTTCTCCAGCAGGGCGCTCCAGAACTCTGTGCGCTCTGCTGAGTGCACAAACACCAGCTTGCCGTTCTTTGTGGGCAGCCGGTCATCCACCACTACGTCCATCCACTCCCCAAACTGCCAGATCTGGGGGTAGCAAGGTGGGTGTCAGTGGGGTGTGGGCATCTGTCTGCCCCAGGCCCCCTTCCAAGGCTCACACACACACACACACACACACACACACACACACCCCTCTCCTTGCAAAAGGACTGTTACACAAGTGCCCCCTGGTGGCCAATTCAATGACACACCAGTGACAGAGAGCCCACCCATTTCAAGAAAAGCAATGAAAGCCCTGAAAGGCCCTCCAGCCTCTAGTCAGGTTCTGCCATGGCCTCCAGAGGGATCCACCTGCCTTTGGACCTTGGCTGGTCTTTTATGTTTGAGGTCTTGTGATTCAGAAAAACTCTTGTGACTTTCAGAAATATTTTTATGACCCGAGGAATTTGTCCACATGTCACATAATTTAAAGAGCAGATTACAAAAATTATGCGAAACTCCCATGTCATAGAGGTTGACAGACAAACACACACATATACATGCATATATTGATACAAATATGTGTGTTTCTACTGAGAGAAGGAGAGACAGAGACACAGTGAGAAGCAAGAGAAAGAGGAGGAGGAGGAGAGTCACAAACCAACACAACTGTTTTCTTTTGGGGCTTTAAAAGCTTATACGATTTCTTTAGTGAGAAGATATTTCTCTAATAATTATAGGCAAAAATCCACCCAAATAAATATAATTTTTTTTTCAAAAGGAAAGGGAAAATGTAAGCTTCAAAGCATGTACTAATTCTCTCTCACACAGCCTCCACACACTCATGCACACGCCTCAAACACAAACCAACTCTGGCTTTCAAATCGTGCTTCACCTGAAAATGGAAGATCCCGGCATAGTTCTTCTTGAAGCTCTGCCCCTTGGGCACCACGCGGGACAGCAGTTTGGGGTACGCGGTGAGGGAGCCAATGGCGGCCAGCAGCCAGCAGTCTCCTGAAAAGACAGCACTCTGCCCCCCTGCGCATCCCCCTGTGTGTGGCCCCAGAGTCCAAGCCGAGGATGGGAACCGACTGTGGGAGCCCACGCGAGAGCGGCTTTCCTTCACCTAATACCTTAGACTGAGGAAGGCTGAGCACCTGCAGGGACTTTAAAAATGTGTCCACAAGTCCTTCTACAACCCTTCCCCCAAGAGCAGAAGGGTAGTTCCCCTCCCCTTCCATGGGAGTTGGATTGCATGCATGCAAGCTTTTTTTTTTTTGTTTTTGGCCAAGTGGCACGTGGGATCTTAATTTCTGGACCAGGGATCAAACCCGTGCCTCTCTGCAGGAGAAGTACAGAGTCTTAATCACTGGACCACCAGGGAAGTCCCTGCAGGTTCGTTTGCTTTTAACAGCAGAACCTGGGGAGGTCACTGCCTGTTTCTCCTGAGACCAGCTGGTGAAGTCAGTCTAGCCTCCCCCTTGTTGTCTCAGGCCACTCACTCGGGGATGCCAGATACCATGTGGGGACACTCGAGTGTCCTACGGAGAGCTACGTGGCAAGGACCTGAGGCCTCCTGGCACATGAGCGTGCCATCTCAGAAGGGGACTCTCCAGCTCCCGTGGAACCTCGTGAGGGACCCTAAGCCAGACCCGCCCAGCTCTATTGCTTCCTAATTCCTGCCCCGGAGAAACTGTGAGATGATAGATGTTTGTTGTTGCTTTAAGTCACTGAGTCTTGGAGCAATTAATAACTAATATGTTGCTGTTCAATCGCTAAGTCGTGTTGGACTCTGTGGCCCCATGGTCTGTAGCCTACCAGGCTCCTCTGTCCATGGGATTTCCCAGGCAAGGAAACTGGAGTGGGTTGCCATTTCCTTCTCCAGGGGATTTTTCCCAACCTGGGATTGAACTTGCGTCTTCTGCAGGCAGGTTCTTTACTGCTTAGCCACCTGGAAAGCCCGATAACTAATATAGCACCCTGCTTATTCCCAGACCCAGATGGCAGCAGGTGGGGGGTGGAATCTGGCTTAGGGGAGGAGCAGGGAAACAGAAGAGCTGTCTGAGCCTTGGGCTCCCAGTTCCCCAGCCCCAGAAGATACCCCAGGCTTTCCCACTCTCCACTCACCGAGCACCCCCTGGCAGATGTCAGTTGGGCTGACCCCATTCACGATGAATTGAGGATTGCTTGTGATTTGCTGCAGAGAAGGCAGAAAGGTTTCAGAGAGACCAAGCCATCCCCTCTTCACCTCCCTCCTACCTCATCGGGGAATGCTGCCTGTGTCTTGGAGTTCTAGGGGAAATATGGATGGCGGAGATGGGGTGGAGCGGGGGGAAGCTGGCATAGTTGTAAGCCGTGACAGCAAAAGTCAGTGAGTGACCTTCCCAGGGTCATCTGAGAGATTTTACTTAAGCACTTCCAGAGCTGTCCTTAACCCAAATGGGGGTGGAATCCAAGGCAGAGCCAAGAGAGGGTGGTGGGGGATTGGAAATTATGCAAGCGACTGGGGCATCACTACATGCCCCATCCCCCAGGAGTCCACGCCTCCCCTGCCGGTGCCCACACTGGGCCGCTGCCAGCTGATGTTCTGCACATGTTTGGAGTTGGGTGCCAGTTCCTTGAAGCCCAGTGAAGTGGGTTCTGCAGGGAAAAAGGGGTCCTCGAACAGCTCTCCCCTCCGTAGGCAGAGTGCTCGCAGGTCCTCAAAGCTCTGGTTGTTGTAGTTCTGGGCGTTGTGGTGCTGGCCCATGCCCTTGGCCTTGAGTCGGTTCTGGTTTATGTGGGCTGCAATCCCTTTGTCAAAAACGGTCTCTGCTTAATAATCAAAGGACAAATAACCCATTAAAAATGGACAAAGGAGTCCAGCGCTCCAATCTGCTCCAGCCCAGTTGCCTGCCCCGGATCCGGCGCTACCATGCCCAGGTGCCCCATGTGAAACAAAGAGGTGTACTTTGCTGAACGGGTGACATCCCTGGGGAAGGACTGGCATTGGCCTTGCCTGGAGCATGAGAAATGTGGAAAGACGCCTACCTCGGGGCGGGGGATCAGGTGGAACATGAAGGCAGGCCCTGCTATGCGGCCTTGCTCAGACCCAAATGTTTTGGGCATGGTGGAGCCGAGAGCCACACTTTCAAGTAAAGCCAGGTTTTGGAGACCCCTCTCTCCAGCTGCCTGCCAGGCCGCTGCCCTCCAGACTAACAGCAGGCCTTCCCCACAGGTACTGGGCTTCCCTGTAGAACCCCATCCCTCAATAAACCTGGATCCTTGGGAGAAAAAAAAAATGGACAAAGGATCTGAATCAGGGTCTCTCTGAAGAAGATATACAAATGACCAATAATCACATGAAAAATGCTCAGCTATTATTGTCACCAGACAAATGCAAGTCAAGGTCAGTTCATACCCACTGAAAGTCAAGTGTTAGTCGTTCAGTCATGTCTGACTCTTTGCGACCCCATGGACTATAACCTGCCAGGCTCCTCTGTCCATGGAATTCTGTAGGCAAAAATACTGGAGTGGGTTCCCATTCCCTTCTCCAGGGGATCTTTCCAACCCAGGAATCGAACCCAGGTCTCCCACATTGCAAGCAGACTCTTTATCGTCTCAGCTATCAGGGAAGCTTGCTGCTGCTGCTGCTAAGTCGCTTCAGTTGTGTCTGACTCTGTGTGACCCCAAAGACGGCAGCCCACCAGGCTCCCCTGTCCCTGGGATTCTCCAGGCAAGAACACTGGAGTGGGTTGCCATTTCCTTCTCCAATGCATGAAAGTGAAAAGTGAAAGTGAAGTCGCTCGGTCATGTCCGACTCTTAGCAACCCCATGGACTGCAGCCTACCAGGCTCCTCCGTCCATGGGATTTTCCAGGCAAGAGTACTGGAGTGGGGTGCCATTGCCTTCTCCGGGGAAGCCTGCTAGGACAGCTCTAATCCAAAAGATTGGTAATGAGATGTGTTGGTGAGGATGTGGGGAAATTGGCGTTCTCAGACACTGCTGGTGGGGATGTGAAAGGGTGCAGCCACTTTGGAAAATAGTCTGGCAGCTCCTCAGTTAAACACAGAATTACCACACGATCCAGCAATTTCACCTCGAGGTATATATACCCAAGAGAGCTGAAAGTATGTTAATACGTCCAGGACTTGCCTGGTGGTCCAGTGGTTAAGAATCCACCTGCCAATGCAGAGGACACGAGTTCAATCCCTGGTTCTGGAAGATTCCATGTGAGTCGGGGCAACTAAGCCTGTGCGGCACTAGTGAGCTCCACAACAAGAGAATCCACTGCAGCGAGAATCCTGTGCGCTGAAAGTAGAGACCTGCGCCACTCGTCACAACTAGGGAAAGCCTGCGTGCAGCAACCAAGACCCAGCGCAGCCAAAAATAAATAAGTCAATAAAATTTTAAAAAATCTGTCCATACAAAAACCTGTACACAAATGTTTATAGCAGCAGGATTAGTCACAATAGCCAAAACGTGGGGGGAAAAACCCAAATGTCCATCAGCTCATGAATGGACAAGCAAAATGACGGATACATGGATGATGAAAATAAATCAAGCAATGAGATGAACCTTAAAAACACTTGGCTAAGTGAAGACAGTGGTCACAAAGGACTACATATGGTATGATACCAATTATGCAAAGTGCTCCAAATGGGCCAATTCATATAGAGACAGGAAATATAATTATGGTTGCCTAGGGCTTAGGGGGTTGCAGGGTTGGAAATTGATGGCTACAGGGTATGGGATTTCTTTGGGGGCAAAATGAGAAGTTTCTAAAACTGACTGTGGCGATGGTTGCACAACTCTGTGAATGTACTGAAAGCCATTGCCTCCTACACTTTAAATGGGTGAATTATGCGGTAGGTGAATCACAGTTCAATAGAGCTGTTTTTTTTTTTTTTTGAAAAATGATCTCCAAACGGTGCAAACAGACACTGCCTTTTGGGGAGAGGGGAAATAACGGAGAGTCGAGGGCAGCAGGGCAGAAGGAAAGGAGCAGCCCAGGGGTGAAAATCAGTTAGGGAATGGCCCCGCGACTGAGTCTCTGAGAGGAAAAGTCAGGCCGGCTGGCAGAGCCTGGGTCAGCGGCAGTGGGGGGACCTCGGATCCATCCCCCTGCACAGGGATTGCAGGCTCTTACCTGCTTCCTGAGGATTCCCTAACCGTGGGACTGACTCCCCTCTGCCACCAACAGTGAACGCCAGGGCAGAGCACGGAGGAGGGGCAAGAGGAACTGAGACCTCAGAGCGAGACTCACTCTGAACATCCAGTCCTACCCCCCGGGCACCCAAGGACGGTCCTCCCATCTCCCCATATTCTCAGCTGTTTCTGAAATAAGGAAGCACTTAGCGGGGAGGCTGGAAGGATGTGGTTAAACAGAACCCAGTGGGGCCCGGGGTGAGGGAGGAACCCAGAGTGAGGGAAAGAAGGGGGCAGCTGCAGAGAGAGGCAGGAGTCCTGGGCTGTCCAGAGGGGAGACCGGATTGGGCCCCCGGAGGGGCGCTGCGTTCTTCAGAGGCGGGAGCCGGGGGCTCAGCTGTGTTTCCTCCCTTGTGCTGGTCAAGAAGAATTAGAGCAGCTGAGCTGATGGGCCTGAGTGCCTGCTCTGTGCCAGGCACACCAGGCCCGAGAGAGGGCCGTGCGTTACCCACAGTTATCAGAACAGGAAGCCGCAGCGCCAAGGTCAGTGGTTGGCCCAAGGTCTCAGAGTCAGGGTTGGATTCAATGTGACCGCAGACCCCAGCTAGGCTCGTGATCTTCACGCCACACTGCCCTGGAGGGAGGCATGTCTCCTCTGCCGGAAGGCCTGGGGACGCCTCCCTATCCTCCTCAACTAGGGAGGTCACAGGCTGTTTGTGGCTGAAATTACCTGATGCCCCCTTACTCTTCCCACCACCCCAAGCAAGCAAACCTATTCTTCAATCCCTCATCAGTGTCTCCTGGGACTTCCCTGGGTCCAGGAATGACCCCTATTCTCTCCGATTATTAGCCTGACAAATCCACCCAGACTGGCCCTGACCAGCCCAGAACCTTGGACCACAGGCTGCCTCGGTGCCTCTGCTTGGACTCATTCCTGACCCCACGCTCACGTCTGTCCACTGGGAAAAGTCCTGGCTCAATGCCACCCACTCGGTGAGGCCACCCCCAGACAGGCCTGTGCAAAGTTGGGACTGTCCTGATGTCCAACACTGAGGTTGGCGGGTTTCCGTTTGTGGAAGACCAGAGTGGGAGCCAGGGGAGAGGGTAGGTGGGTGGGGCCAGAATCTGGGACTTATTCCCTCCACCCCCTTTCCCTCCAGCCCTTTCTGTTCCAACCTAAGCCCTCTGGACTTCTCTTAGGAATGATCAGGAAAGGGTTGTTTGTGTGTGTGTGTCTGTGTGGCCCGTGTGTGCATCTGTGGAGTGTCTGTGTGTGAAGTGTGTGTGTGTGATGCGTATGTGTGTGTGCACGTGTAGTATGTGTGTGTATCTGCGGAGGATGTGTGTGTGTGTGTCTGTAGAGAATGTATGCAATGTGTGTAGTGTGTGCAATATGTGTGTATTTGTGGAGAATGTGTGTGTGTGTGTAGTATGCGTATGTATATGTCTGTGCTTTTGTGGAGTATATGTGTATCTATGTGTGCATGTGTAGTATGCGTGTGAATATCTGGAGTATGTGTATATGTGTATGTGTCTCTGTGGAGAATGTGTGTGTGTCTATGTATTGTGTGTGTCTGTGTAGTGTGTCAGTGTATGTGGAGTATGTTTCTGTGGAGAATGTACATGTGTTGTCTATATACTGTGTATGTGTCTGTGTAGTTGTGTCTCTGTGTATGGAGTATGTGTGTATGTATGTGTGTGTGTGTATCTGTGTGTGCGTATGTAGTATGTGTGTGCATCTGTGGAGTATCTGTGTATTTATGTGTGTGTGTATCTGTGTGTGCACATGTAGCATGTGTGTGCATCTGTGGAGTACGTGTGTGTATATATATGTGTGTGTATCTGTGTGCATATGTAGTATGTGTGTGCATCTGTGGAGTACTGTGTGTGGAGAATGTATGTTTGTGTTTATGTAGTGTGTATGTGTCTGTGTAGTGTGTCTCTGTGTATGGAGTATGTGTGTATGTATATGTGTGTGTGTCTCTGTGTGTGAATATGTAGTATGTGCGTGCGTCTGTGGAGTACTGTGTGTGGAGAATGTATGTGTGTGTCTATGTAGTGTGTATGTGTCTGTGTAGTGTGTCTGTGCATGTGGAGTGTGTGCGTATGTATGTGTGTGTATCTGTGTGCACACATGTAGTATGTGTGTGCACCTGTGGAGTATGTGTGTATGTATGTGCGTGTGTATCTGTGTGTGCACATGTAGCATGTGTGTGCACCTGTGGAGTATGTGTGTATGTATGTGCGTGTGTATCTGTGTGTGCACATGTAGCATGTGTGTGCACCTGTGGAGTATGTGTGTATGTATGTGCGTGTGTATCTGTGTGTGCACATGTAGCATGTGTGTGCATCTGTGGAGTACGTGTGTGTATGTGTGTGTTTGTCTCCATGGAGAATGTATGTGTGTATGTCTATGTAGAGTGTGTCTGTGTGTTTATGTAGTGTGTGTGTGTCTCTGTGTGTAAAGAGTTATGTGTGTATCCGTGGAGTATGTGTGTGGGAGGGGATGTGTTTTTTCTTTTGCCCAGAGATGAAGAGGATCCTGAGAGGAAGGACGAACCAGAATTTGTGTTCGTTTTACCGCCAGGCTGGTCCTCACCCAGTGTTGCCATCGCTGGCAGGAGAGGGTGCTCCTGACTGGGGTGGGTGGAGCCCAGGGCTCCCCCAGAGAAGGTAAGTCAGCTCTCCTTGCCGAGGGGCGGAGGGTGGTCATGCCCCAGGGAACAGCGCCGTCAAGAGATGCTTTGGCTGCCTTAACTGGGGAGCAGGGTGCAGGGGCTGCTGGCATCCCGTGGCTAAAGGCCAGGGATGCTGCTGAACATGCCACAGTGCACGGGACAGGTCTTACGACAAAAAATTATCCTGTCCCCGAACATCAAGAGGGTGGAGGGTGAGGAACCTGGGTTAAGTGAAAGGCCTAAAGCCTCCCATAGTGAGGGAAGCCTCTGTGCCCTTCCTCCAACGGGGCTCTCCAGAGGCCTCTGCCCGGCTGCCCCCAGGAGTGGGTGTGCTGAGCTCTTGGGATGGGGGGGGCGGTCTGGGAGGACCACAGAAGGTGCTGGTGTCCCAGAAAACTGGAGAACATCAGAGAGGAAACCAAGGTGATGAGTCTCCCTAATCTCCCTGGAGCCCTCCCTCCGGCTCATCACCCAACCGAGAGGTCATGGCTCACTGTCCTCACTCCAAACCTGCCTAAGGTCCTCGATCCTCAATCCACTGGGTCTGCGCTCCTGACACAGCAGCTGGGCTGGCAGGGAGGGCTCACACACAAACACACACACACGCATACACACACACACACTCCACCACAGTTATTCCCCAAATGTCTCAGGGCCAGGCATGGGTGAGCTCAGACAGACAGACAGACAGACAGACAAGGCTGGCTGGAGGAAGGCGAGGCGGGTGGCCAGAGCAATATGTGAAAGCAAGGCATGAATAGGTAGGTTGATTTTTGTCCTGGGTGCATGTCTTGTTTCTCCCATCAGACTGGGGACTTGTAGATTTAGGGGCTAGGTCATGTCCGGCTCTTTGTGACCTCATGGACTGTAGCACGCCAGGGTCCTCGGACCTCCACTATCTCCCGGAGTTTGCTCAGATTCATGTCCATTGAGTTGGTGATGCTGTCTAACCATCTTATCCTTTGCGGCCCCCTTCTCCCTTTGCCTTCAATTTTGGGAAGGGACCCCGATGCTGGGAAAGACTGAAGATTTAGGGACACCACCTTAATTCCCAGAGCGAGAGTAAATGAAGTAAATGAAGATGCTGTCTAGATTGGGCTTGGGTCACCCCTCGGCCTATACTTCTCAAGAAGCCTGGAAACTGAGTCTAGGGTGCCTTTGATTTCCCTATCGGCCACGGCCAAGGGGGCTGTCCTCACACAAGCCCGTTCCCCAGACGGCTTTGAGAGCAGAGTGGCTGGTCCCTCTCCTCTCCCCAACTCAGTGGAGACAAGGAAGTTGTTCTCCTGAGGGTCTGACCATCCGTTGCCTGTTCTTTCCCAGACTGGCTGAGGAAGAGGCCCAACTCCTGAGCCTAGGGAGCATCCAATCTGATGGAGGGGTCACCCCCAAGGACACACAGCCCCTTCCCGGGGGAAGGCCCTCATCTGCCAGGCACACGAGTGGGACAAACCCCATCAGCACCTACCTAGAGAGTGCAGCATGCTGGTAGCCTGCATGGTGCTTGACAGTTGAAGGTTCTGGGGGTGGGGCGTTTGCAGAGGACCCCTCCCCCCCAGAACTCTCCCAGAATCCCCTGGGATTCCTAAGTCAGTGGCACGTTTTTTAACAGCTGCCTCCTTCCCACTTGTCCCCCACAGGCTGGTGCTGGTACTAATGGCCCCTTTCTATCTGCCTGGTTCCCACCCACCAGTCCAAGGGCCATCTCCCTGTGGGCATCGGAGACCCAGCACTGCCACTCTGGGGGCCACCACCAGGCTGGCTGTCCTGTCTCCATCATCTCAGGATAAGTCTGAGTCCCTCTTTTTTCGTCCAAGACTGCCAGGTAGGGGCTGTCCCTGACACTCCAATGGGATCTCTTTTATCTTGAAAGCCTCCTCAATTCCAAAAGCCACTGACATGGCATGGCATTCACCCTGTGCATCTCTGACTTCACATGGCCTTCGCTGTGCCTCTCTCCTGTTCTTATAAAGACATCAGTTGTACTGAATTAGGGGCCCATCCTTTTCCAGCATGACCCCATCTTATCTAATTGTTTCTGCAATGACCCTATTTCTACATAAAGTCATATACTGAGGTATTGGAGATTAGGACTTCAATATATCTTTTCAGGGGATGACATTCAACCCATAACATTCTTCTTGGCATGGTTAGGCCACTGGCATGCCTCAGAGCAGGCGAGGGGGTGCTCCTGGCTTAACTCCATGACCCCTGGGGAAAGGGTCTGGTTCCACGCCAGTCATTTTGGCCTAGTTTGGGGTCCTTGACTCCTTTCCATATCAGTTTTCTCAGCTGAACTGTAGAAAGTTTGAATGAGGCAAGATGACCTGTCTTTAAGCTCCCATATCATCCTAAGGTTTTTTCCATCCTGCCTTAGCTCCACTGTGTCCAGACTGTGTTAGCTGGGGCAAGGGACATTCTGGCCATGGGCCTCACGCTTCTCATCTATCAGTTGGATTTGATAGATGGGTTCCTCTGAGGACCCAATGACAGGTCCATCTCATTTTACTGGACTTTGAAGATACTGCATTTTTTACAAACTGAAGGTTTGTGGCAACCTTGCTCTGGTCAAGCAAGTCTACCGGGGCCATTTTTCCAACAGCATTTACCCCTTTTGTGACTCTGTCATATTTTGGTATTTTGAACTTTCCACTAGCAAAAACATTACGACTTGTTGAAGGCTCACATGATGCCTAACATTTTTTAGCAATAAAGTATTTTTAAATTAAGGTATGTGGATTTATTTTTTTTAGAAATAGTGCTATTGCACACTTAACAGACTACAGTGTAAACGTAAGTTTTCTGTGCGTTCAGCTCAGTCGTTCAGTCATGGCCGACTCTCTGCGACCCCATGGACTGCAACACGCCAGGCTTCCCTGTCCATCACTAACTCTCGGAGCTTGCTCAAACTCATGTCCATTGAGTCACTGATGCCATCCAACCATCTCATCCTCCATCATCCTCTTGTCCTCCTATCTTCTATCTTTCCCAACATCAGGGTCTTTTCCAATGAGTCAGTTCTTCGCATCAGATGGCCAAAGCATTGGAGTTTCAGCTTCAGCATCAGTCCTTCCAATGAATATTCAAGCCTTATTTCCTTTAGGATGGACTGCTTTGATCTCCTTGCAGTCCAAGGGACTCTGAAGAGTCTTCTCCAACACCACAGTTCAACAGCATCAATTCGTCAGCGCTCAGCTTTCTGTATGGTCCAGCTCTCACATCTGTACATGACAACTGGAAAAACCATATCTTTGACTAGATGGACCTTTGTTGGCAAAGTAATGTCTCTGCTTTTTAATATTCTGTCCAGGCTGGTCATAGCTTCTCTTCCAAGGAGCAAGTGTCTTTTCATTTCATGGCTGCAGTGATTTTGGAGCCCAAGAAAAGAAAGTCTGTCACTCTTTCTGTTGTTTCCCCATCTACTTGCCATGAAGTGATGGGACTGGATGCCATGATAGTAGTTTTTTGAATGTCGAGTTTTAAGCCAGCTTTTTCACTCTCCTCTTTCACTTTCATCAAGAGGCTCTTCAGTTCCTCTTCAGTTTCTGGCACAAGGGTGGTGTCATCTGTATATCTGAGGTTATTGATATTTCTCACGGCAATCTTGATTCCAGCTTGGGCATCATCCAGCCTGGAATTTCTCATGATGTACTCTGCATATAAGTTAAATAAGCAGGGTGACAATATACAGCCTGTGCACTGGGAACCCAAATTCGTGACTTGATTTACTGTGATATTTGCTTTATTGTGGTGGCCTGGAATGGAACCCAGTTATCTCTGAGGTGACTCATAGAAAGTGCTAGAACAGTGCTAGACCTAGTGAGCGCTTCCCTCTCTGTCTGTCTTGTCCTCTGGGTTGTGGATGTCCAGGAGGCAGCCTTACCCCTTACTATGTCACTGGTGCATCCTCAGGATGGTTTGATGGAAGGATCAAGGGTGAGATGCCCTTTGCAGCCTCAGGGGACCGCTGGAAACTGTGCCCCTGCTGGAAACTCAGTGAATCTCTGCTCATCCAGCAGCTGGCTGGTTGGTTTCCTCAAACCCTTGGCCCAGCAGCAACTCCAGCCTCAGGACTTTGGGATATCCCTGGGGTACACATTTCCCAAGTTTGTGGATCTGACATACAGGACACACAGGCAATCTTTATCAGGCTTTCCACTGTTTGCTGTCCTCACTGTTGGCCATTTCTTGGTGACAGTCTGAAGGCCCTTGGGGGTATTCATTTCTTCCTCCTTCTCCGTCTCCTCTGAGGTCTCCTCTCCCCTCTGGGAGTTCTTTGACTTGCTTTCTTGCTTTCTGGGTCCTGCTGGTGGGCAGTGGCTGGCAGGTGTGTAGGAGGATGCTTCAGGGCCTTAGGGGTCACCTGGTCATGCTCCCTGAGTTTACTGATGAGGAAACAGATTCAGAGAGGAGAGGCAGGTCCCCTGGGGACACACAGCGAGTGAGTGATAGAACCAGGACTGGAGTCCAAGTTCTCTGGAGGGGGTGGGGAGAATGCTCACGGGAAATTTGCTAGAGAAGGTGAATTTGAGTTGGATCTTAGAGGATGGATCAGCTTTGAACTGGAGGTTCTGTCTGGGGGTACTACTGGAGCAGGGACAGATGGGCTGGGGGCCAGTTCACTGAGATGCTCAGGAGAACATTTCCAAGATCCCTCCCAGGCTGGTGTCCCTGGGCAAACCCCACACCCTCTCTGAGCCTGCATCCTTTCCCATAAAACAAGGAAAACCACACCTGCTTTGTAGGTCCTATTCATGAGCATAGTATTAATTACAGTTGACATTTATTGGGTGTTTACCTTGTGCTAGGCGCTGGGCCAAGTGGGCACCTGACATATATTATCTCATACAGCTCTCAGAGCAAACCCACGCCTGACCTCACAGCAAGCTCTGAATAAATGCTTTGAGAAGCACAGAAGTTACTTAGTGTAATTTCAGGCACATTAACAACCATTCGGTAAACAGCATCAACAATGACAGTATTTGGTCCCTTCTTGTGGCCCTATTTTCTTACTCTTCCTCCAGGGCAGCCTGCTAAGAATCTCTTTTTGGAAGCAGCTGTCCTGGAATCTTCCTCCTCCAGGAAGACTTCCTGGACCAGCGTGGAATCTGTGGCTCTCCCTGGCCTTTCTCCCCTAAATCTCTGTCCTATTCGTGTGGCTCTTGGTGATTCAGAGTGTGGGCCTTGGGTCCCTGTTCCCCAGTCTGAAAGGTTCCACAATTTCCTCGGGGCAGGTGGCAGGGGCGGGGTGGGGGGTGGACATGAGTGCAAGGGGAGGGTGCTGGGGAGGTTGGCATGGTGCATACAGCATGCCTCTGCTGCTACCCTCTCCTCTCCCTGATGGAGACCCGAGACTACACACAGGAAGTCTATTGCCCAGGTCATATGGGGATGCTGATCTTGCATGTCCTTCAGACCAAGAGAAGGTAGTTGGACCCCAGCCACGAGTCCAGGGTAGCAACACAAATCAGACACCTGCCTCAGAGCTTTTCATTTTTATTTTAAAGGAAAAAAAAAAAAAAAAACCAAAACAGTGCAAAATCCCATTTTCCAGTGTCAGCCATGCCCACCCCCCACCCCCAGGTCAGTCCCCCTGGCTCAGGGCTGGACTCTCTTCTCCCACTCAGCACGCTCTCCCCTCTCATGCCACCCCGTAGGGGCTGGAGGCTCCGCTTCCCTGGGGCGCTAGATCCCAGCAGGACTTGGGGGGAGGGGAGGTAAGAGCTGGGGGGGGCAGTCCCTGGTCCGTCTGCCCCCACCAGGTCTCCAGCCATGGCACAGGTACCCCTCTTGGCTCTCATTAACCCTTTCCTGATCATACTACTAGCCCAGGGGGGGTACTGATCTGGGGGAACCCTGTCCACACCCCTCGTTGCCCCGGGGCCGGCTCGGGGCTCTCCTCACTGAGGTTGGGGGGGAGTCCCACCCACCCTCCCTCCGTGGTGGGGGAGAGAACGGTGAAGTCCCCAGGTTTAAATACCTTAATGAAAGCAGGGGATGGGGAAGGAAGGGGCTTTAGATCTAATAAATTATTAGCGTTTTGTTTTTAGTGTCCGTGGGGGGCCGGGCGGGCGGGGGCAGGGCGTGGCCGCCAGGGCCCTCCCTTCCCTTACTGGCGGATCTCGTTCTCTATGAGGCTGTCCTCACAAGACTGGAAGTCTGTGTCCGTGAGGCCGTCAGGCTGCATCAGCAGCTCCTCGTCTTGGGAGGAGGACGACGGGGGCTCGTCCCCCGAGCTCCCGGGACCCCCATCCCCGTCAACTTCTGAGTCCTGCAGCACCTGAGCGATGTATTTCTGAAGGGGGACAAGTCCCCCCGCGCGCGCTTGGCCGTGGTTGGGGGCGGGGCACTCACCGCAGATTTGGGGACAGCGGCAGCATTGGGGGGCCGTCCATTGCTTCTGGGGTCCACGGAATCTGTCTCCGTGTGCTCAATCTTGAGGGGCCCGGAATGAGTCAGTGGGTGAGGGGGGAGGCCCTTGCCCTCAGCTCCCCACCCCCCACCCCCAGCCCGCAGATTCCGCCGGCTCCCTGCCCCCTCGCTCCCACCTTGTAGTTGTGGGCACTGAGGTATTTGAAGTGTCCGAAGCAGACATGGCAGAGACAGACGACAATGGTGATCACCAGGACGACAAACGTGAACATGGACGTCGGGGCTAGAAACCCTGGTGGGGGGGGCGGGGAGGGCAGAGAAAGGGCTGCGACCTCTCCCCCAGGCCCCTCTCCCAGGGGCTTCTGCTCCCTCCTGAACGCAGGCCCACGCTCCCCTATGCCTCGGCTTCTCCCAGGCCCCCAGCCTGCGCCCGCCCTCCCTGGGCCCCGTGGTCTGCTCGGCCTGGACCCTGGCGGGAGCCTCCTCTGCCCCCCGCACCCTCTCCCACCCCAGCCCCCGAGGGTGGGGGCGGCCCTCACCCGTGCGCATGGTGGAGAAGAACAACAGCCAGAAGAGGCAGAGGATGGGCGCGGCCACCACCTGGTTGACGGCCCCCGAGTGGATCTTCTTGTCCAGCTTGGCCGGCAGGTAGGCGTAGTAGAGATTGTACCTGTCTACCAGGTGCTTCAGCAGCATGTACATGAGCCCTGGGGGAAGCCACACGGGCCCAGTGCTGTCGGGCCTGAGTGTGTCTGTCACGGCTCGTCCCAGGCCTTGCAAGGTCACTGGAGGGCTGGCCCCCCAGGCCCAGTAGAGAATTGAGCCCCAAGCTCCTCGCAGGACCACGGAACCTCAGCTTCCCCTGCTTCAACCCCCTCACTCTGCAGCCCCTCACCAGGAATTCATTGTTAGAAATCTACTGGCTTGGGTCAGCAAGCACCCTCCTGCATGTTGTTTTTTTCCTATTCCTGACCGTAAACAGAGGAGTATAAGTTAGGCGGTAAGGTCTCTCTTCCTGGAGGTTGAGGGAACGGGACGTTTCAAATGGGGACAAGGTGGTTAGTTTGGGAGTCTGGAGCCTTCAATAACCAGGGAGGGTAGTGAATGGATTAGGGTGTTAGTGGCCGGGGGGAAGGACAGATGGGGGGAATGATGGGGGTGAAGAGAAACTTTGCTTAATTTTTTTCAGAAGGAAGAGGGACTTGCCGAGGTCACATGGTGCAGCGACAGCAGGGTATTTCCAGGAGTGGTAAGGACCCAAACCCTCCCTGAAACCCAAAGGTCTTTCACGAGTGTACGGGGCTGTGTACAAGTGTGCCCATGGATCCTGTGTACGACTGTGTGTGTGTGTGGACTCCTCAGTGGGCAGGTGATCTGTGTCCAAATATACCTACTTGCGTGAAGGCACTGGTGTGAAGGAATACGGCCGTGTTGGGGAGATGTGGCCCAGGGACCCACACACAGGCTGAAGCCAGCCTGAGCTGAGATGGCTTTACCCTCCTCCCCCCCAGGCCGAGTCCCAGACTGAGCCAGGGACCAGGCGGGAGGCCCGAGGGGCCGGTCTCCCAGCCGGGGCCCTGTCCACTCGGGTGGCCTGCCTTGCTAGAGTGGAGCAGGAGAGGTCCTGGGTCCCCCCGAGCAGGGCCCAGGTCCCGGCGCGGCGGTGCCTACCGAAGGGCACGATGATGGGGCAGGTGATACTGTAGGTCATGACCACCGTGAAGACGCACATCATCCAAGCGTAGGCTGCGCCAAACTGGAACTCGTAGGCCTGATGCTGGGGGGGAGATGGGCAGGAGGGTCGCTCAGGGAGGGGAGGGGAGGGGGAGACTGGAGGGGCTCAGGCAGGTGGGAGGAGGGAAAGGGACAGGAACTCTGGGGCCAGGAAAGAAGCCGAGGGTGGAAAAGGAACCCAGTGTCCAGGGCAGGGCAGGGGGAAGCTGATGGAGAGAGGGGCTGTGGCTGAGTCAGAGATCAGGGTGGGTATGGTGATGGGGCCTGGGGAGGGGCCTTCCAGGGGTAAGGGGCTGGCAGGGTGGTGGGTTTGGGAGTTGGATGCCCAGAGCCCTCTGTGTAGGATTAGGGCAGAGGGACCCTGGGTCTAGACCCAGACCTCCCCCAGTTCCCATCACAGAACACTAGACTGTTAGAACTAGAGGGGCCTTCAGGGTAGCTACGCTATGTCACTGTACACACGGGAAAACTGAGGCCCCAGACGGGAAGGGGGTGACTGAGGGCCTTGGAACGCGGCTCCCCAGGTCCCGGCCCCCTGGGGCCCCCACGCTCTAGCACGGCTGCTGCAGTTTTTGATTGGGCCACCAGGGGGTGCTGTGCGGGCCGCGGCAGCCCCGGGCGGCCCTACCCGCTTCACGTTGCGCCTCTCGGCGGCCGAGCGCGCCAGGCAGAGCCGGATCATGTACATGAGCAGGCCCGGGATGCGCAGCAGGTCCATGGCGTTGCCGATAAAGGCGGAGGCAATGACGTAGTTCACGAAGAAGGCGCCGTTGTCGGGCAGGAACACGCACCTGCGGGCACCAGGTGCTCCAGCTCTGCACTCTTGGGGGACCCAGAGGCCCCCTGCCCACTGCCAGCGTGCCAGCGCCCCCAAGGTGCCATTTTCCACGTGGACCCTCCAGCTGAGTCCTCAAAGCACCCATGTCTCAGGGACCCCTGAATGTGAACCCCCAGATGCCTCCAAAGTAAGCCGAAGACAACCTCAGTGTGTGTGCGCCCAGAGGCGCCGCTAGAACTTGTGTCACATAAAGACCCCTGGAGAGTGGAGAGACCCCTAAGGAGACCAGTGTTCAGGGTATGATTCTGGAGGTCTCCACAGCCATCCCTCTCCCTGTGAGACCCTGAAGGGTGTGAGCCCCAGAAACACCCTGAAGGCTCCCTGCCTTAGATCTTAATTTAACCAGGAGTAACCCCCAGAGTATACGCCTCTGACACTTCCAGAACTCAAGCTCCAGAGACCCTCCCCCAGAAATCTTCAGAGTGGGGGAGCCCAGGGACCTTTGTCAGTACCCATGACACCTCAAATGTGAGCCCAAGGTGACTACAGATGGCCTAGAGCAAGACCCCTATAGCCTGCTCCCACATAAACAGCCATGGCATGTGTCCCCCAAGACTCACCTCACAGAGATTCCCAGGGAAGGGGCCCCATAGAGAATTGCACATTCACACCTCTGGGTGATAGCCTGAGGCTTCAGTGGTGTTCACAGAGCTTGTGCCCCAGAAACACCCCAAGGTGTGAGCCCCAGAGTCCCCCATGGTCATTCTGAGTGAGGTGTAAGCCCAAGAGCCTTCCAGACAGACTCAAAGGGGTGGCACCTGAGACCTTCAGGAAGCCCCCTAGGAACCCTCATGTCACTCCCACAGCACAACCAAGATCCCACTATAGACCTTTCCAAACCCCCCAAGTGTCACTCCCACAGCACAACCAAGATCCCACTATAGACCTTTCCAAACCCCCCAAGTGAAGCTCCAGGTCCCACAGTTAGTCCCATGATACAAGCCCCAGAGCCCACCATAGAAACCCCCCCGAGCCGCAAAAATACCCTAAGGGTGACCTCAGAATCCAGAGAGGCTCCCAACACAGACCCTCAGACATCCCATGCATGCACCCAAGACAGCCTGTGGGGGCGACCTTTGGGATGCCTGACCCTGATAAAGCCCCTGCTCTTCCCCACCGCAGGGGCGGGTGCTTTGCTGCACCCTCCCATGGGGGAATACTCCCCCCTCCCCAAATCTGGTCTCCTTCCCTGGGGACCCTGGTCACTCACTCAAACCGGATAGCTGCCTCAGCCAAGAATTTCTTGTCAAAGAGCCAGCGGAAGAAGAGGTCCAGGCTGGGGAGGAGAAGAGAGGGGATGGAGGTGTCGGGTGCTGGAGTAGCCAGAACACCAGAGGGGAGAGCGTCCCATCCAGGAGCCCTGAGGACGCGCCCCAGACCTGGGGCCCCTGGCTGCTCCCCTTCTCGCCGTCCCCCACCCCAGCTCCCACCCCTTCCTCCGAAACCCACCTGCTCAGTCCCAGCGAGGGCAGGAGCAGCACCATGAAGATGAGGAAGGTGTAGCACTTGTGCATGGTGGTCCTGTTCTCACCGGAGCTGGGGTGGGAGGGGGGCACGGGGTGGGGGCAGAGGTCAGGCGAGCCAGCCCCGTGCCTGCTCCCCCTAGCTCCTGCAGTCCCAGGAGGGTCCCCTGGGAAGGAGGGGGCCTTCCCAAGGTGAGGATCCCAGTCACCATCCCTCCCCTGCCAGCTCTGAGACTGCCCGGGGCGTGGGGGGTCTGAAGGTGGAGGGTGTGTGCCCAGGAGTGTCAGTGTGTGTGTAGAGGGGTGTCTCACCGTGTCCAGTGGGCTTCAAAGAAGGCAGAGTAGTAGACGATGGTGGGAAGCAGGGCCGAGAAGCACCACAGCAGCAGGGTGGGGAAGAACTGGGTGATGATGGGGTTCTGCAGAGGGCAGCAGGGAGGATGTGTCAGGCAGGGGCGGTCTAGTGGGTCCAGCTGGTGTGGCTTACCTGCCCCCCTCCTCCACTGAGCCCTGGGGTGCCCCCAGCTCCCAGGGCCTCATCGGAAGTCCAGAACATTGGGACTTCCCTGGTGGGAAGTCCCACCATGCCTTGCAGTGCAGGGGTAGCAAGTTCAGTCCCTGACTGGCGAACTAAGATCCCACATGCCTCAGAGGAACTAAAAGCCTGCATGCTTTGTGGCATGTGCCACAACTAGAGAGTCCACATCCTGCAACTACTTGAGTCTTGTGTGCCACAACAAGAGAATCTGCGCACTGCAACGAAAGACCCCATGTGATGCAATGAAGCTCCAGCGTGCCACAACTAACACCCGACGCAGCCAAATGAATAAATAAGCCCAGAACCTCTGAGGGCCGGGGCCATCTGTACAATCCCTGCGCGAATTGTATTAGTAGTTAGCATTTATGAACACCTACTATGTGCCAAGCCCTGATGATGGACTTTTTTTGGATCATGTACTTTTCATGTATTAATTCTTACAATAATGATATTACCCCATTTTAAAAATGAGTACACTGAGGCAAAATGAGGTTCAATAAATGAGATAGTGAGAAGTAGGGGTGGGGGGGGCGAGATTTGAACCCAGGCAGCCTGGGTCTTATCTATTATGCTATTATCACCCAGTGATTTTCAAAGTGCCTTCTCATGAACTTTGAGGTTCCCAGGAGGCTTGTAGGGGGAGTGAGGACAGAGGAGCAGAAGCTCCCGCTACCACCACCACTGCCATTTGAGCAACCTTGCTTTTCCACACTGAGTTTCACATAAGATTTCCTTGGATAAAGGGCATCAGAATCCAAGTTTGGAGGCCAAGGATCTGGTCTGGCCCTTCACGCTTTGGTTGGAGAGATTGAGTGGTTTGGAGAAGGGCCTGGTTCGAGGTCACATGGTTAGTTAGGGATGGACCCAGGCGCTGTCTTCCTGGGGAGCCCCTCTAGGTGAGTGTGAACCGAGGGAGGCCTCTCCCGGGGAAAGGTGGCAGGGAGCCTGAGGGAAGAGCACAGAGCGGATCTGCAGCCCACGGTGGTGTGGGACCTTCTCAGCAGGGCTGGGCTGAAAAAGCAGGACAAGAGCTCGACTGGGCAGCAGGGAGACTGGCTCCATGCCCCTCACATGCCCTTGGCCAGGGGGGATCGGGGGCCTGGGGTCTGTGTCTTGGTGCACAGTGTGGAGGGTTGGGGTGTGAGCCTTACGTTGAGGTACTCCACAGGCTTGGTGACGTTGAACTTGTCCATGGTGGTGATGATGATGGCCGGGGTGGTGAGGAAGAAGAGCAAGATGAAGAGGACGACATTGATGACCAGGCAGCGGAGCCACCAGATGAAGCCTCGGATGGAGAGGTGCTCCCTGGGAGGGCGGAGGCGTCACCCCAGGGCTGGACGCCTGACCCGACCCCAGAGACACCTAGGACCTCCGTCTCCTCCCGTGCCCCATGGAACCACCCCAGCGCCATCCCCGTCTGCTCACCAGTAGATGTTCTGGGGGTCGGGGGCGTAGGACACGGTCCAGTTGGAGATGTGTAGGGACTCGCTGCAGGACGAGGAGCGGGGCTCCCCGCGGCAGGTGCAGCCCTGGCACTTACACACGTTGAAGTCCTTCAGGATGCTGGGGGAGGGGGGCACGGTTACCGGGGACCCAGGGCCCCAGCCGGTCCCTCGGGGCTGGGGCGGGTGGGCAGGGCTCACATGGCCGTGATGGTCTCGTTGTGGAAGGTGACAAAGGCCATGCCGAGGGGCTTCTCGTTCACTTTCTCCTTCTCCCGCTTGTAGTCTTCCTTCAGCTTCTGCTCCAGCTTCGTGTAGTACTCGATGGCCTCCACCTGCCAGGACGGACGGGCGAGATGGGGCCTTGGTCAAGCCGCCGGTCCCCTCCCTTCACCCAGCTGGCCCCGCCCGGGGCCGACTGCAGCCTGGGCACTGCCTTAAGTTCTCCGTTCACTCGCTTCTCCTCACAAGCACCCTGAGAGGTGGCTACAAGCAGCCCTGTATTACAGATGAGGAAACCGAGGCATGCAGCGGTCCAGAAACTTGCTGAAAGCCACAGAGCTAGTAAATTCAGCAAGCTGGGCTCTTGGCTGACCTCTTCTGATATGGGTTTTGAAAACTTGGTTGCTGTAGGTGTAGGGAACAGACCCAACAGTGGGACTAGGGCTTCCAGGACATAGGAACAGACGGGAGGGGCTGCCCCTGCCTGTGGTCCTCAGCCCAGCTCTGCTTCTTCGGGGGACCCCTCGACTTTGGGGTATTTATGTGCAAGGCCTGCTTGTGTGTGTGTGGGTGTTCCTGAGGTTGTGGGACAGGCTCAACTGGGGGATGCATCCGTCTCCACTGTGACCTGTCTCCCCAGGACCTCCCATCCTCCCCCCAGTCATCCGGAGCCGGGGGGCCCTGAGGCCTGAGCTGAGCCCAGGACCCCCCATACCTGCTCACAGCCTCGCACCACGCAGCAGCACAGATGACCACAGGGCTTGGGGTTGATCATGGTGGGGACATTGTCCTTGCTCTGGAGGTTTGTGAAGTAGAGTTTTCCCCGCTCGGCCTTCTTTCTGTGGGAACCAGGCACCTGGTCACCCACCCTGCTGCTGGGTCTGCTGGAGGATGGGTAGGTGACCCAGCTCGGGGGTCATGGAGTCCACTCCCCAAGGACAAGAGCCACTGTGCTCTTGGGTTTGCTTAGGGTGCATGGTTCAGACATGCCCCCAGTCCAGGGCCTCCCCATCATCCCCTGAGGGCCAGAAGTTCTTCCCATAGCCTAAATTTCTCAGACTGTAGCAGGGGAAGGGTACATCTTCAAATGGGGTGGGGGAGGGACAGTGGAACCCTTTCCTCTAACCTCCAGGACTTGTTCTTTCCAGATCTGAACTGGCAGGCGCCCCGGGGGTGAATTAAAATCAAACGCCCTGGGAAACAACTGGAAGGGGAGCCAGACTCCTGAGTGGCAGCCAAGATGCCCCCCACGGTGGGCAGGGGGCCCTCCAATGTCGCCCTCCCACCCCCAGCCCCACTACCTCTCTGCATCGAGGAACATCAGACGAGCCACGTTGTAACATGGGCGGGCTTCCAGAACCGTGCAGTTGGGGTAGGCCTCCCTGAAACACAGTCCACTATCACCCTTGGCAGGGACCCTGTCCCTCCCTTGTCCCCAACTTTCCTCCATGACCCCATCACCTTTCAAGACACACAGCCCCAGTTCAAGCTCCCTCTTTCTGAGTCTGCAAAGACGATAGTTCCCAAGAATAAAACTTTGAAATTGCTCTTCCTGTTTATCCACGTCGGGGGGGTAGTGTGCACAGGTTAGCCTGGGCACGGACCCAGATGAGAGCCTGTACTCACAGGGTGCTGGAGACATCACAGCTATGGTCTGATGCCTGTGTGGGGCTGGGGATTTTACGTGCAGAGAAACTGCCTTTAGTTACGGTTGTTCTCTTAACCCTGCTCCCAGGAGACCTGGTGACCCTGAGTTCAGCACTGAGCCTTGACCACTGACTGATCCTAACCAACCCACAGCCCTGGGCTACAGAATGGTCTCTGGCGCAAGAATGACCCTGACCTGAGACTGACCTCTAAACACTGACCAGAGACTGATCCTTTATCCTGACCCAACTGACCCATAACCCAGACCCAAGACTAACCTCTAACCATGAGCCAAGGTTGACTCCACCTTGACTTGAGACTGACCAGACAGACTCAGTAGCTGGTACCCAGCAGGGCTTGAGGGAGGCTTACAGCCTGCATGGAGGAACACTTCCGTTTTCATCCTGATCACACACTGCTCCCTGATCCTAATCCCTAATCTAGATAGAGGTCCTGACTTTTTTTGGTTTGCTTAATATTTAAAGAAGGAAATACCAAGTGTTAAAGATGTGGAGACATGATTCTAAAGTAACAAGATGGACCTCACAAACCCATGAGAATTTGGGAACTTAAATCTGGGATGGTGTCCTTGAAAGGCACTTCCCAGGAGGCTCCGGACTCTTCCCCGACACAGGATATAGGATATGAATAGTGGGTGCGTGCTCAGTTGTGTCCGGTACACTGTGACCTCACAGACTACAGCGTGTCAGGCTGCTCTGTCCATGGGATTTCCCAGGCAAGCACACTGGAGCGGGTTGCCATTCCCTACTCCAGGGGATCGTCCCCACCCAGTGATTGAAGCCGTCTCTTGCATCTCCTGCACTGGCAGGCAGATTCTTTACCACTGTGCCACCTGGGAAGCCCCCGGTACTGCTGTTGCTCAAACCATTTCAGGTTCCTCTTCGGAAGGGCTGTCAGCACTGTGGCAGGCTAAGTCCTCATTTTCACCCAGCTAATCTCTAATCCCCTAATCCCTACCACACAGGTTCCCTGGTTTTGCACACAGGTCCTCCCCTGATTCTTCTGGATTAGTCCTCCAATCCAGACAGACCCCAGGCCTGGAACCCAGACCCTGGTGGGTATTGACAACTAGCAGGGGCTCCACAAGGACAAGGGCTGCCTCCTGCTCAGCACCACGTACCCAGCTGCTGGGTCAACAGCCCTCACATAATCAACAGCCTTCGCATAGTAGGTGCTCAGTAAACACCCACTGTGCTGTGCTGAATGGATGGGTCAATGAAATAATGCTCACCATGACGCTAAAAACGCCAATGAGGACTGCAGTCTCCCCAACCCCTGCTTATAGGCTGATTGCTAGATTTTTTTACATTCTTTTTATTTATGTATTTATTTGGCTGCATCGAGTCTTTGTTGCAGTATAGTATGAGGGATCTCCAGTTATGGTGCATGGGCTTAGTTGCCCCATAGCATGTGGAACCTTAATTCCCCAGTGAGGGATTGAACCTCCGTCCCCTGAACTGGAAGGCAGATTCTTAACCTCTGGACCACCAGGGAAGTCCCCCTGACCGTTAGTTTTATTTTATTTTAAAAAATAAATTTATTTATTTTAATGGGAGGATAATTAACTTTACAATATTGATTGGGATGGTTTTTGCCAATGACCGCCAATTTTAGTCGGGCTGTCTCCTAAACAATACCACAGATGGACCCCTGAAAGAGACATCTTGGACTGTGAGTTCCTCATGGACATGACTCAAGCCTGGCTCTTCTTTGTCTCCCTGGGACAAAGCACATAGTAGGTGTATGATAAACGTGTGCTGGATCCATGGATGCTCGACTCACAGGGCTCATTCCCTCACTGCGCACAGGGCTCTGCTCTCAGGCCACCCTGTCAGAGCCCCCGCTGCCCACCCCATCGGAAACAGCAACCCTCCATGACCCCTCGCTCTGCCCCTCTGCCTGCTCTGGTTTTCTTCTGGGTACCCACCCCTACCTGCCAAGGTCATTTCTTTGCCATCTGGTTCTCCCTATTAGAATATAAGCAGATGAGGGCAGGTTTCCTGCCATACCCCAGGTTCCTGCTCCAGTGTAACACAAGATGCTCAAAAGATACCTGTTACTGGGACTTCCCTGGTGGTCCAGTGGCTAAGACTCTGCGCTCCCAATGCATGGGGCCCGGGTTCCATCCCTGGTCAGAGAACTAGATTCCACATACCACAACTGAGACCCCATGCAACCAAATAAATACATAAATAAAAGAAAGGGTCAATTAAAAAAAAATAGCTATCTCCTTAAAAAAGAAAAAAGATACTTGTATAGACTTGTATAGACAAGTTACTAATGGACTTGTCTGTACAAGCTGACAGCTGACTCCATTTGGACAGTAGCATTAAGATGTCACTTAATTCTCAGCACACACTGTCCTTAATCTTGACCCAGCCTGCCCCCTAACGCTGAGTACAGCTTGAACTCCAGATGGGACCCCAAATTGTTCTCTCATACTGACCAATGATTGATGAGCTAATTATAGCTGTTGTTCTGTAAACTATGCAAGGGCAGGACCTGTTTCTAATTGATTTATGCCAGGTACACAGAAGGGGACCAATAAATGCACATTGAATAAAAAAGAGTAGTCACTCAAAAACCCTGGTCACAAACCAGTCATTCTGTAACACAGAGGCCTGGGATCTGACAATCCCATCCTAACAGCTGACTGCTCATCCAGGCCAACCGACCTCACTAAGTCCTGATCCTCACTAGAGACCAAGCCCTGATCCAGACCACCAATGGCCCTCATCAGGACCACCGGCCAACTCCTAATACTGTCCCCAGACCAATCTCTAAGGAGACTGTGGACTGGTCCCTAAAGCCGGCCTCTGCACTGCTAAGCCCTGAGAACTCGATGGTCTTGCATTATTTCTGTAGTCCCCAGGCCACCACATGGACCTCAGCGTGCCTGAGAACATCTGCTGAGTGGACAGATGGACAGATGCTGTATACAGACTGTTCTGGCCACTGGAGGTGGATTTCCTTCCCTTTACTAAGACAGACTTCTGGCTGAAAAGCAGAAGAACATGCAGCCCAGCTCTACTGGGCTCCCTGAGGATGCACCGAAAGCTGAGACCCTTCTCCCTGCCAGTCTGCATGTACACAGTCTCTAGAACAGCACGCACAATTCTGAGAAGGCCACATCCTCAAGGGCCCTTGGACCCGGGGTCCACAAACCATGACCTGGTTCAAGCCAGGAGGAGGAAAGGCCCAGGGACTCACTTTCAAGTATTTCTCCAGCTCTTTGAGGGACCTGAAGTCCAGCCCAACTGCTAGACCACCTTGAAGTTGGAGAATTCTTCCTTAGCATAACCCCCTACCCTGCACCACAGCCCCCTGAGCCCCCTGGAGAGAGAGGCCTCTGATGATGCTCTTGGAGCTGGAAGAAGGCAAAGAAGGGTCCACAGGTCCTGGGGGTTGGGGGCCAGGGAGGAGCTACTCACTCAAAATGCTTCTTGATCTTCTCTGACTCTGCATATTTGGAGATTCCATTGATGAAGAGAGTCCGCTTCACCTGGGGAGTGAAGGGGGCCAGTTTGCCTTCCTGAGGCTTGACCCTCAGAGAGAGGGTGGGGAACGGGGGAGCAGAGAGGGGCAGGTGGGTGGGAGCAGACCTCGGGATAAGCCAGGGGCGGTGTTTCTAATAGAAATCAGACAGTGAGCAGAGTGAAAGCCCCCTGGCCTCTTGCCCCCTGAGGGCTTCTGGGGGCGCAGAGTGGGTGCCACTCGCAGATCCTCAGGGAGGCCCCAGCACGGGTGGCATGGAGTGGGTGTTCAGTACTGGTTTGGGGAATAAATATAGGAGAAGAGGGACAATCACTCCCACAGCCATTTCCTGCCCCGGGGCCTTCCATGCACTGCCTCACCTCACCCCACCCACCTTGGGAGAGGGACCGTTCTCTCCTCCTACGGAGGAGGGGACCGAGCCTGGGGGAGGTGACTTAACCGGCAGGATGGGGGCTCCTGGGCTGCTGAGCCAGGATTCAAAGCCAGCTGGCCTCACCCAGGGGCTGACCACACCTCAGACAGGAAGAGTCCCTGGAGGGTGGGTTGGGGGGTGGGCCTGGCTCTGCTGCACTCACCAGGTCATCCTCCTTGTAGCGCATTTTCGAGGTGTGTCTGCGCATGCTGTAGACGGTGAGCAGCAGGTACAGGAAGGCGAAGGAGGTGTGCAGCCACAGCAGGTTGTTCCTGGCGGGACAGAGGGGTGAGTGGGGTCACCGGGGCTGGAACACTCTCAAACACCCCCAACCTGCCAGTGTTCATGAAACTCTGGTGGACTCCCCTGGTGGTCCAGTGGTGAAGAATCCGCCTGCCAGTGCAGGGGACATGGTTCGATCCCCGCTCTGGGAAGATTTCACATGCTGTGGGCGCTGCAGGGCAATTAAGCCCATGCACAGCTACTGAGCCCACATTCTAGAGCCCATGCTCCTCAACAAGGGACGCCATCGCAATGCAACTACAGTAGCCCTTGCTCGCCGCCACCAGAGAAGGCCCGCACGCAGCAATGAAGACCCAGCACAGCCAAAAATAAATAAGTATTAAAAACAACAACCCTGGTACAGGACCCCTTTAGAGACTCGGGTCTTCCGACACCCTCCCAAGGCAGGCCCCACACCCCACATCCTCTAGACCCCGAGACTGTCCCATTCCAACCGCACCGTCCCCAAGAGATCATCTCTTCACGCCTTCCCTGCTGGGTACACTGCCCTCCAGTCACTACCAGCCAGTCCTTCCTGGGATTCTCTCCTTCTGGCTCCATCCCAAGCCCTCAAGGCCCCACCGCCATCTCTGCAGCCTCAGTACCTCTCCCCCGAACACCCCCCTTTTTCCTGCTCCCCTTCCTGCCCAGACTCTGCCTGCAGACCCAGGCCTCGCTTGACCAGCTTCCCACTCTTACCCTGATTTCAAGTTGGCAATGGTGGTTCTCCCGAAGCTGTAGGCGTTGTTCTCTGGGGGGTGGGATGAGGGAGAGGATGACGGAGGGGTCAGGGCACGTCCCCTTCCGTCCCCTCCTCTTCCCACTGCGCCCATCCTAGCCCTCACTGACCCAGCAGGTCCCCTGAGAAGTTGACGGGCAGCACGATGCCTACAGAGAGGACACCCACGGCCACCAGCAGCCCGATGATGTGCCGCTGGAAGGACAGGTAGTGCACGGCGTCGCCTCCACATTTATCCCGGATCTCGTCATCCCTGCGGGCATGGGGACAGGGGGATGCGGTGAGGACCAGCGTGCTGGAGGGGCCACGGCTCATCTGCCCTGGCCCACCTCAGCCCACATCCACCCTAGCCCTGGCTGATCCGGCAGCAGGATGGGGTTGAAAGAGGGGAGGGGGCTCTGGGTCCCCCATGTCCTAGGAGGGGAGAGAGGAGGGAGAGGGAAGGGGAGGGAGAAGAAGGAAGGATGCAGGGAGAAGGGGAGGGAAAGAGAAAAGAGAAGAGAAGAGAGGGATTGGGGGAGAGAGACAGAGAGAAGAAAAAGAAGGCAGACTGCAGAGAGAAAGAGCAGCAAGGGGTGGGGAGAAACGAAAGGGAGAGGACCGCCCGAGAAGGGTGGATGAGGACAGTGGCAGGAGGAGACAGAGGCAGGAGGGCAGAGGGATGTCTGGGAAGTAACGGTGCCTTAGTGGTGCTCCCCCTTAGATTTGGGGAGCCCTGGGAGCCCACGAGCCAGGGCGGTGGCGGTGCTGACCTGTCCCGGCTTCCTGCCTCTCTCAAGGCTCACTGCCTGCCTGCCGCACTCTGGCTCCATCTCCTGACTTCTGCCTGCAGGAATACTGGCTCCTGCCTGCAGCTGGCTGGCTGCCCCCAGCCTGCCTGTTGCCCCCACCCGCTGGCTGCACATGGCTCTGAGGTGGCAGCGCCAGCCCCTGCTTGCACAGGGTGGCAGGGGTTCTAGCCTCCCTCCTTACCCTACCCCAACCTCGTGACCACCTCCAGGCTGTGGCTCACCTTCTCACAGCTCCCACAGCCCCCTCAGAAACCAGCTCATCCCAGAGAGGGGCGAGGAGAGTCGCCCAATCTCAGGGAGGAAGAAGGACCAAGGGCACGTGGGGTCACCTGTGGACTCTTGGGCTCTGATTGCAGGTCCCCGCAAACACCCAAGGGCAGCGGAACCAGAGAAAAGGTCCTGCAGTTGTGTGGGCCAGGGTGGGGATGGGTGGGGATCGGGGTCCGAGGAAGGGACCTCAGACCTACAGCTTCTGCGATGTGGAGTCTGCAACGTGGCTGCCAAGAGCAGAGGAGGGGGCCACGCTGCCCACGGTCCTGCCACCTACTTTCCGTGTGCTCAGTCACTCAGTCGTGTCTGACTCTCTGGGACCCCAAGGACTGTAGCCCATTGGGCTCCTCTGTCCATGGAATTTTCCAGGCAAGGATACTGGAGCAGGTTGCCATTTCCTTCTCCAGAGGATCTTCCCAACCCATGGATCGAACCTGCATCTTTTGTGAATCCTGCATTGGCAGGCAGGTTCTTTACCACTAGCAGCACGTGGGAAACCCCAAGAATACCTCAGAGGGACCATCCCAGGGTCCCAGTGAGCTGTGATCTCCTGCTCTCCAGCCCCCAGGCTTGTCTTCAGACAGAGACCCCGCTCAGGGCAGGGTGGGGCTATGTGGGGAAAGGCTGGGCAGAGAGATCCTGACCCAACTTCCTACTGAGAGACTTCCAGCCAAGATACAGGACCGTGCTATCTGTTGCCAACATCACCTAAGTCTGGGGACCATCTGGACAGCTCTGGCTGGGAGGGGTGATACCTCTGCTTTGTCACTTACCAGTATGAGTCCAACTCAGGAAGCTGACAGGCTTCTTCTGCTATGGGGGCCACAGGAGCTGCTGCTCCCGGGGCCCCCAGCCTAAGCTGGACTGACCAGAGCCACCCTATAGCCTGAGGATTAGAGTTCTGAGCAGGGTTAGCGTTCTCACCCTGGCAGAATGACAGGGGGCCAGACAGGTAATGCCAGCGTGTTGGGTCTGATCTAAAGGGGCCTGGGGTCTGCTATGTCTCCCCAAGTACATGCCTTGTCTACAGGGGCCCCGCCCCTCAGCTCCAATCTACAAGCAGGTCATCTGGCCCCAGATTGCCAGGGGCCACCAGCCTGCAACCGCTGAGCAGCACAATGGATTCTGCATGTTTTGCTAAGCAGGCCTGGAAGGTTCATGATTACTTCCAGGAAAATGTCTAAGGAAAAAGAGGTCCTTAGGATTGATCACTGGAGAGGGGCACAGAACTCTACTGGGGAAAATGACATTTAGAAACCACAGATGTTCAACCTCTGCTGGTTTGGAGGCTGCCGTGGAAGACAGAGCCCCGAGTTCTGGGTCTGGGGGCTACCTTGTGGCTCTCGGATGAGCATCACCCTTGCTGGGCAGAAGGCCCCACCGCATAGACCCTTGACTCCACATCACCTGAAGCCAAGGCTGCTGAGCCCACGTGCCCCGGAGGAGGGGGTGCTGAGAAGCTGGGGGGAGGACACTCACATTGTCCCTTTGGTCAAAGTCGACGGAGCTGGAGACAGACGTGAGACGCTCATACCGGTCGTGACTGTCCCCGTGCATAGCCGAGGCCACACTGGGGGTGGGGAGGCGAGAGATCAGAGAGGGGGGTGAGTCTGAGTCCCTGGGGAGCCAGGTGGAGTGGGTGGGCTCCCACTCCAGAGCTCCAGACAAGGCACAGAACGCTCAGAGGCAGAAGCGCGCAAGAGTGACTGCCCTCTCTCTGCCTCCCTAGAACCCACACCTTCCCCTCAGGGGCCCCGGGGATGTGGGGGGCACTGATGCAGGGATGGGGGAAGGGTGGGAGGGGGAGTCTTCATCAGCACCCCATGATTGCTGAACGAAGGAAGTCAGCGGGGCCCTGCAGTTCTGGAGCTGACCAGTGGGGGCCAGGTAGGCAGAGCCCACGCTGGGCACAGGGCAATGGTGGGGGGGCGCGTGGTGATGGGGAAGGACAGGCTGGACCAAGAGAACCCCAGAAGGGCCAGGGGCTCGGAGGGCTGGGAGGTGTCCCCCACCCTGCCCTCCCCCTTCCCCGACCCCAGCAGCTGCCGCAACTCCAATGCCAGGCCTATAGACAGAGACGGTGACGGACACAGAGGGCCACGCTCAGAGCTTCTCTGGCCGCCCCCCTCCCAGGCCTCCAGAGCAGGTGAGCGGGGAACCCTGGAATAGGAAGAACTAGCTGTTAGGGGATGAGAAGCCACTGGAGACACCCAATCTTGTCTCTGCAACCAACAGGGTGACTGTCGGGTGGGTTCCCAAGGAAGACGGCTCCTCCGCCCCAGCCAACTGGGGCGGCGGACGCCCGCGTGTGCGGGGCACACAGGGAGCCGCTTCTCCCAGGCCGGGAGCCGGAGGGAGAGACGGGGGAGAGTGGCAGAGACAAGCTGGGGAGCCCCCTGCTCTGCGAAGCACACCACCTGCGTTAATCCGAACACGAGCCTGCAGAGGGGAAAACGGAAAAGAGACACCAGCAACGTGGTGGGAAGAGAAGCATGAAAGAGAAGAAAAAGGAAAGCTGGTTTAGTGGGGGCGAGGGGGCTGCTGCCCCACATACTATTCCTGTTCCACTCGGGCTCTCTCCTGCTGCCGGCGCCTGGGGACAGAGAACAGACAGGGTTAGCGGGGGCCGGGATGGGTCTCCAGGGACTGGCGAGGGACCAAGGCCCAGCTGTGGGCCCCTGTGCCCGCATGCCCGCTCTGGGACCGGTCCCCCTTCATCCCCCCCACCACCGCTGCCCCCACCAGAGGATGAGAGTGGGCTGACTCTCCTCCTATCCCTGAGGAGCGTGGACAAGGTATATGTGCATGTGTGTGTGGGCGTGTGAGTGCGCACACCAGCCTGTGTGTAGGGGTAAGGGGAGGGTCCCAGAGCCTTACCTGTCTGCATCTGTCACCAAGGCCAGCCGCCCGTAGTCCCAGGCCACCTTCCGGAGGATGGAGAACAAGAACAGCAGTGCCTGAGGAAGGAGGGGGTGGTTGGCAGGAGGGGAGGCCATTCACCCCCTGGACTAGCTAGGAGGGCAGGGCAGAGGGGCAGGATTTTTGTCTGAGAAAAGGATGACTCTGGGTGGGATGAAGGTCTGAGGCTGAACTTGGGCTGGGTGATGGGGATTCCCACCTGCAGTCACACGTGGGGAGTCAGGGGCAGGTGGGGGAGTGGTTAGAGTGGCGGGTGTTAGCCATTCGTGATACAGGGTGTGGTGCCAAGGGTGGAGGGGGGCATGTGGGCACTCACAAGGAAGCACATGAAGTCCAGAGCCAGCACGGTGGGGACGCCCCCGAACGGCAGGCCCTGCAGGACAGTGCTGCGGATGCGGGCGCTGTAGCAGTAGTCCTTGGGGTTGCTGTTGTTGAGGGCCATGGTGCCCAATGTGGCCAGCAGGAAGGGCAGCATGGCTGCTACTGCCTCATGGTTCTCCTGGGCAGAGGGCGGAGCGGTCAGCCGGGCTCAGCCCCTGTCCCCTTCACGGTTCTGCCTGGGGCTTCAGCAGGGTGGGTGTAGGGAGGTGACAGTGAGGACAGATCACAGGGCTGCCTGGGTGGGTGGAAGCTCTGGCCTCTGGAGATAAGGGCCCAGGAAGAGAGGGTTGAGTCACACAGACTTACTTTCCCTGGCTTTTGGGCTCTGGGTCTGGGGAACTCAGCCTGGGTCTGGACTGGGGCGACTGGTTTTTCTAAGCTGGAAGATGTCTCTGAGTCTCTAGCAATTTACCTCCCACCACTTCCATATACACACATACACACACACACCCGTTCTCTCCAAACACAAACTGGCTCTCTCTGTCTCTGTGTCTCTGTCTGTCTCAGGCAGGGGGCAGAGCTGAATCTGAGGGAAGATGGAGAGGGGTCTTAGGTCTGAAGATCCAAGACTAAGTGGAAGGGTCTCCAGGCCAGGGGAGGATGGGTCAGGAGCCAGTTACCTGACCCTGATTGTCTCTTCCTACCCCTGTTAGAACAATGGCATGGTTTCATCTGCTCAGTTTTCAACTCAGTTAACCACCTTCCCAGTATAACTGGCTTCAAAGTGAGATGTTTAAAGTTGGCCCTCTGTCCTCAGAGTAGGGTCTGAGGATGGGGTCGGTGGGAAGTCTGTTAAAAAGCAGGACTTCTGCATTTGTGCCACCTGTCTCACTCAGCCCAGCCACACCTGTTTACCCTCATTCTTTTTCCTGGGCCATGGCAGCAGCTACACCTTTCTCTCCTCCAGTTTCCTCATCTCTTTCCAATTTTCTTTGCACCTGAGTTATAAGGACTACAATTCCCAGCGTGCCCTGCTCCTGCCCCCAGAGCAGGGCAGGCTGGGAATGCCGTGCCCTGCAGCAAGCTTTTCCATTGATTGGCAAAGGAAGAATGAGCCGGGGGTCTCTTAACCAGCCCAAGCTCCCTGCAGCCAGGGAAGTGCCCTCTGGCCTGCTTCCCTGATACTGTCAGGCTTTCAAGCCTTCGACGGTCCCAGCGGACGGGTGGGGAGGAGGAGGGAAGGGGCAGCCAGTCCTGATGCCTGGGTTCTGGAAGTGCCTGGGGACCAGCTGGGCAGGGCTCTGGGGAGGCTCCTGGGGTGGAGGAGATGTGTGGGCGCGGCTTCGTGGCCCCACCCCCAGTCCTACTGGAGGGCCCCTGGGGGCCCCTTCTGCTGACAACACAAGCTCTGCTTTGTGGGGGGGGAGGTCCCCAGGGAAGAAAGGAAACCAGACAAAGAAACAGAACAACAAATCTGGGATGGGTGACTGCAACTCTGGGAGCAAGCATCTCCCAGCCCCCTGGGTGGCTCAGAAAGTTTCCCCTGCCCACCCACCAATCCCAGATTTTCAGCTGCCTCTTCCTAACATTTCAGCTGCAGGGCAAGAGGCACCAGAGGAGAAGCTGGGGTTGTCTGTGTGTCTCACTTGGTTCCAGGGAGTCTCTGAAAAGCCTGGGTTAAGAAGGCTAAGGGAATAACTGCCCTGTGTTCTATGTCCTCCCTCTTCCTTTCCAGCCCATGTTGCCTTAAAAAATAATAATAATTCAGTAACTGTGGCAGGTGCCATGTATAGAGTGCCCAATGTTTCAAGAAGACATACATTTTTCATTTAATCATTAACTCTTTGGAGTTGGAATGTCATTCCCATTTTAAGATGAGGGCATAGGACTCAGAGAAGTTAAGTAAGTTTCCCAAAGTCACACTGCTCATAAAATAATGGACCTGGGCATCAAACCTAGGTCAACTTCTTTTTTAAAGCCTGAACACTTTTCAGGGCACCTTGATGCTTTTCTGACATGCCTAGAACAGGATGCTGCAGAAGCTTTGTGAATGCTCATTATGTGTTCTCTGGCTAGGGAACACCAGAGCACTGAGAGAATGTGTGTGTTTAGGTGTGTAAACTTGTGTTGATATGTGTATCTGTGTGTGTGGAGGTGGGGAGGTGGGTGACTACACAGCTGTCCTTGGAAATGAAGAGAGTTGTTAGTGTCTAAGTGGAGGTGTGTATGCGGGTGTGTCTGGGAGCCTGGGTATGTAAATATAAAAAGCCCCAGGAAAGGTGAAAGGTAGGTATAGGTATCTTAGGGCTGTAATAATTGGGGGGGGGGCCTCTATACTAGTCTCCCCACCTCTAACTCCCAACTCAAACACATTTCAAAAATCGATCCAGCCCTCACATACTCCTTGCCCGTTTGTCTCTGAAATTCCAAGGCTCCCCCAGGTCAGAGTGTAATGGGTACAAACCCCTAGAGTTACATGCCCCTCCTTCTATCCTCTTCACTCGGAGGAAGGTGAACCATTCTGGGAGCTCCTACACAAGGGAACCCAGGAGAGTAGTGAGGGTCAAGGTCTGCGCTTTAGTAACCGAAGTCACCATGTCCATCTGTCACCTCCCTCTTTACAGTCACAAATCACTCCCTCCTCAGTTGCACTGCTCTTCCCACCTGCACCCTGAAGTAAGCAGGGCACACTCCCCATTGGCAGGGGAGGAAGCAGGGACCGGGGAGGAGAAGCCACTCACAGGGAGGTCACAGGGCAGGAAAGGGTGGAGCCAGGGCTGGTGGCTCAGCTTGCCAGCTAGCCGACTGGGTTACTCCAAGCTCTTAATTGTGGAGGCGGGGTTGCTGGGCTGAATTTCACCCTGGGCAGCTGCTCTCAAAGCCTTCACAGAGAGCAGCTGAGAGAAGGGAAGGGACTGAGGCAGAACATTTGGGGGAGAGAGGGACATTTCATCCACTCTACAGGGTTGTCTGAGCCAGTGGTATCCCAGAATTTCTCTGGTCTGACACTGAGGCTGTAGCTGGAAAGGTGTAGGGAGAATGATGGAGGATTTTATTTCTAGCTCACTGAAGGTTATTTTATCATCAAGAAGTGTGTGCATGTTGCTTGGGGGGGGCGGGGTTAGGAAGCTATAAATTAAAAGTTTTTTTGTTAAAGAGTTACTAGGGAAGATTTAATTTAGGACTTGGGATCATAGGAAGGCAGTGTGGTCTGTTGGAAGGAGATAAAGATGGAGACTAGTTTTGTTACTATGTAACCTGGGCCTCAGTCTTTCACTCTGTAACAAATAGATATTAATATCCTCACTCCATCCCTACCAACTTCTGAGACAGGGGTAATAATGTATCCACAAGTGAGGATAAAAGTAGTAGGAAAAGAATGCATTTATCAAGTACCTGTTTAATTCCTATTTTATGCCAGCACTGTTCCAAGTGCTTTACAAATATCGTCTCATTTACTCCTCATCACAACCTTAGGAGGATGATGAGGTTCAGAGAGGGTATATCACTTTCCTAATGACACATAGCTAGCCTGTGATAGATCTGGATATGGACTTAGGCAACCTGGCTCAAGTCTATGCTTTTAACTATAGCACTTTGCGGCCTCAGCTAACAGAGGAGTCACTTCCATCAGGAGGCAGGGGGCTGGGGATTGTCAGCTACAGCTCTGGAGAAATGCCACACCTTATTTCTACCTGTTTGCCTTCCCTCTTGCTTCTAGCTCCCTGGGTTTGTGATTTCGAGTTCTGAGGCAGGTGGAGGGGACAGGCAACAGAGCCTGGTGGCTAAGAGCATGGGCTCTAGGATGAGACAGATAATGGCTTCTGACCTGAGCACATTACCTCACCACCCTGGGCCTTGGTTCCCTCATCTATAAATGGGGATAATAATTCAGTCACGTGGTTGTTTTGCGAATTACACAAGATGATTTAGGTGAAGCTCTTAGTACAGTTAAAGGCGTAAATGGATTCTAAAAAAAAAAATTAGCTACTGTTATCAATAAAGTGTAGAATGAAAGGGATTGGTTTAGTAGAGAAGTGGTACAAATCAAAATAAAACAGAACTTTGTATGCTAGAACTCCTCAGTCTAGATGGGCTTCTTGTCCAGACTTAAGAGTTTAGGCTGCTTTCAGGACTCAGCCAGTGAGTGACAGGGGAATGTTTCTAAATTCTTCAAACAAACTGATCCATCCCCAGCAGGCTGGCCGGGGTTGGGGGTAGCATGGGAGGGTGATGATACACCAAGATGGGTCAGAAGTTCAGAGAGGAGAGCTCATTATTGATCAACTACCAGGCAGGGTGCCAGGCTCTTTACCTGTACTATCTAGATTGATCCTCATAATTAATCTTGTAAGCAGGTGGTAGTGAGCATACTTTTTATTTATTTATTTATTTTGTGAGCATACTTTTTAAATTGACACTAAGGTTCAGAGAAGTTAAGTAACTTGTCAAGGTCACACAGCTAAAGAATGGCAGAGCTGGAATTTGAACCCACGTCTCCAAGACTGTTATAATTGGAGGGAACTTGTAAGATGTCTAAAAGGGGCTTCTTCCCTACTCACCACCTGACTTCTGCCTTGCCACATCCCTCCCCACCCAACCAGAGGCCAAGACCCAACCGGGTGAGCCAACAGCAGGTCCCAGCATGTGCCACCTGGGGCATGCCAGGGCCTGGACCCTCTGGTACCCTGGAGGATAGTCATGCCGCCAGCACATCCCTGTTGGTAGCCCCCGGCTGGGAGGGCCACTCCCCTCCTCACAGTGCCTGGAGGCAGGACTGGGGGTTCCTCCTCAGGAGGGGTTGGGGATGCAGACCCAGGGAGAGGCTGGAGAGTGGTCTTAGGTACGGAAGTTCTGGTCCTCCCCATTGTGCGCCCCCCCAACCCCCTCGCCCCCTTCCAGGAAAGTGGAGTGCGGAGCGGCCAGTCCTCCACCCAAGGGACCCAGGCAGGTGGCAGCACAGAGCCGCAAGGACAGCCAGCCCTCTGACCTCTCCTCTCCACTTCCCAAGGGTCCTTATCTTTTTGGGGAAGAAGGCGCCAAAGCTTTGGGACTGTCCTCCCTAGGAGGTTAAGGAGGGTTAGGGACAAAGCACGCCCCCTCCCCCCAACAGGGCCTTTGCCCCTCTCCGGTTCCTCGAACCAATCCTTTCTCCACCGCACCCTCCAACGCAGGCCCGGGCGGCTCATGAATGAACTGCACTGTGTGGGGCGCAAGGAGAGGACACGCTCCCGGGGCCAGTCGCCTCCCCAGCCCTCCGACCAGTCCCCAGACCGGCCGGGGCAGCGGCCGGCCTCGCCCCAGCTCTCGCGAACCCTGCCCTTGCCCGAGCCCGAAGCCCCTGCCCCGGGCCGACTTCGGGGGTACTCGGCCCCTAGAGCCAGAGAAAAGATAAAAAAATCCGAGGGCATTGGACTTGGCGACCCTGGAATCCAGAACTCGGGGGCGGGGGCGGCAGATTCCCTACCGCGGCGGCGGGCTGATCGGGCGCAGCCGGAACCCCGGAGGGGCGCGGAGGGGAGGCGCACCTGGACCGGGCAGGTGGGGAGGAGAGTGGTGCTAGGGGGCCGGGGGCGGAGGTCCCACCCCTCGGATCTCTCGAGGGGTGGGGACAGAGGGCGGTGTACCTCTGGACCCCAGGCAGGGGTCGGAGGACTCACACGATAGGCTCAGGATGGTGCCGGGGTTGGGGGCAGCGCGCGGCACCCCTGGGTCCCGCGGGCCCCGGGCACCTTTGGGTCCCGCAGGAGGTTGAAAGGGAGGGGACGCGCAGCTGAGATCGGGGTTTTTCTTTAGGGTGGTGGTGGGATCCTCAAAAGAAAAGAGACGGGGCTGGGGAAGGGTCGCGTACTCACCCCCAGGCGCAGACTCGGCTCCGGCTCCGAGCCCCGGGTTGGGGCGGGGCGGGGCTGGGGGAGGGGGAGGGGGTGTCGCTGGGCGGCTGGTGAGGCCGCGTGGGGGGGCAAGGCGGCGCCGGGCCAGTGGGGCCCGCGGCGGGATATTCCTAGGCGGCGAAGGCGGTATGGAGTGTGTCTGGGGGGAAGGGACGTCACGCTCCTGACTTTCTGCTTCCCGTCTTCCTTTCTTCCCGGCTGGAGCCGTGGCGCGCTCCCCCGGGGTGGGTGAGGAAGGGCCGGAGTGCGGGGATCGTGGGCCTTCCAGGGGCAGAGGGTCCCGACGGGGAGGGAGACCTCTGACCCGGACCCTGCTCTCTCCCACTCTCCGAGGGCGGCCCCGCTCTCTGGGGCCTCTGAGACCCCGCGCCCCTGGCCCGCGCTCACCTGCTTTTTCTAGGGCTGGGGCGGGTTGCCGCCAGGCTTCACGAGGTGGCCTAGGCCGATCAGTCTGTCGCGGCTCCTTTGGTTTGTCTTATTTCTCTCGTTCTCCCTTTCCTTTCCCGACTTGGGTCTTGAGATGACTTTGTGGCTCGTTTGCCAGGCGCTTCTCTGGTTTGGAGAGTGAGTCCACCGCTTTCACGGTCATGCCGATGAGTGGCTCCCCCGGCTCCAGGGGGTTCCCTGGTTTCTCATTTCACCCGAGGCTGCATCTGCCAGGGATTAAGACTGGAAAGATGAGAGAGAGTGGGGGGTGGGGGTGTGTGTGTCTGCGCGTGTGCATAACTCCTGTATGTTATCCACAAAATAGATGATAAAGGCATGTGGAATACCAACTTGTTCGTTTAATTGTGGGCTCATGGAAAGCTTTCTTCTCTTCAAGCTTAAGAACAGGCTTGCGGACAGAAGGGAAATACTGCTTTACATGGTGGGCAGTAAATTAATTTTGCCACCCTAAGAGATTGATGGACTGAATTTATAAGAGGTTAGTAAAACAGCATATGATGGAGTCACTGGGTTACTGGGGAAAACCTGGAAGGTTGGGAGATACTTGTGGGGTTGCTGGACAGAAGATGGGCACTGCCTATTTGGTTGTGGTTGGTTAGTGTGTCTGCTCTCTGCTGGGTTTTTCAAGGGCTCATTAGTAGCTTGTGGAAGGCACTGGTAAGGTTTACATACAGTTAAAACTGAATTCCCATTGCAACTGTGCCACTGGTTAGTTGGAAATCAATTTAGTGGATCATGGCCATCATTTAAGAAAAAGTAAAGTAGAATTAGAAAATATCAGTGCATTGTACCTAGGGAGGGTAGGTATTGTTTCTGGACATCTGCTTCAAGTATACACACGTGAAAGTGTGTGAGTATATTAGGAGTTGTGATACAGTGTGTTTCTGTGCGTCACAAAAGTTTGAAGTGCGTTTATTTCCTGTTCTCCTGTTTGTGGTCTTGCCTTCATCAACCTGAGTTTTCAGTCATTTAAAATTGTCCGTGAGGATGCAGTCAGGGCATCATGGATGTATAGTAAGGAGCCCGGTAGGTTGGTTTTTTCAGGGAGGCTGTGCTAAAGGAAGGTTCACTCTTCACTCATGGAATTATGTACAATGGAAGAAAAAGGATTTTGTTGGAGTAGGAAATGTTACTTAGGAAGGATAGAAAGGGAGATGGGGTTAAGCTATGTTTGACAGACTGCCTGTTGGGAGAAGTCTTTGTAGGCTTGGATTCTGGGGGTAGGAGCAAGCAGTTTGGATGACAAGGAATCTGTTCTCTTTGTGTTATTGTTGTTTTTCCCTTATGTAGAATTTTCCGTTTTACCCTTAGAGCTTCTTGGATGTGTATTTCCTATGAAACTTTTTACATATTGTGTTGATTTTATGGTAGTAGAGCTGGTGTGATCCCTTGCCGAGTAGCACTTATAATGGGGTATCTGGAAAGTGGGAATAGAACCCATGTTACCTGGTTTGGGGACCCCTGAGGATCACTGAAAGGTGTATTATTATCTTTTTAATAATGCAGTTAGGTATGTTAACATGTGGTGGATTCCAGATCGATTTCTGCCTGTGCCTTGTTAAGGGTCACCACATATTAACAGAGGAGACATTTCAGAAAGCCTGAAGTGAGAATTGAATTGAGTACCCTGTGGAATACATGAAGGGACGACGGCCACAATGTTTTCTTATTGCCCCTGAATATGAATGGTGCAAACCTTCCCTGGAATTCATATTTCAGAAGGGAGCCTGTTGGGCACCGGACATAATTATTTAGACTCTCCTCAGCATTTAGCATCTTACATGATGCAAGAGTCCTTTGAAGCCTGTCTCACCCCACTCTTGTCTTGGTGTTATGACACCTGGACCCACATAAGATGGATTTTCCTGTTGTTTTTGTTACTAGAATAGTTTTTATGGCCATGAAGGGGCTGGGGAGGGTCTCAGAAATCAGGTTACAATTGATCTTCCTTTTTAGAAGCTGAAGGTTTGTTCTGGGTTATGGCTCACCCTGGTGCAGTTTTACACCATTGTGTGTTAACAACGACAACCAGCTTGTGTGAGAGAGCTATGATTCAGATCCCAGAAACTGCTCTGGGTCAAGTAATATGCTCTCCTCTTAAGAAAGCTGCCAGGGGACTTCCCTGGTGGTCCAGTGGTTGAGAATCTGCCTTGCAATGCTTGAGACACTGGTTTCATCCCTGGTCTGGGAACTGGGATCATGCGTGATGTGTAACAACTAAGCCCGCGTATGGTAACTATGCAGCCAGATAAATAAATTACAAAAAAAGGTGCCAGGTAGCCTATTATTCCCCAGTGAAACACAACTCAGAATGGGAAAGTCTCCTTGTCAAAAGCTTAAAAAAAAAAATCATCTGTGTCATTAGAAAAGAGAGAGCACTTTCCATATCTACTGTTTTTTTAAAAAATTATTAATTTATTTGGCTGTGCTGGGTCTTAGTTGCTGCACGGGCTTTCTCTAGCTGTGGTCAGCGAGCTGCTCATGGTGGTGGCTTCTTTCGTTATGGAGCACAGGTTCTAGGGCACAAAGGCTTCAGGAGTTGGGGTATGTGGGCTTAGTAGTTGTGGCTTCCAAGCACAGGCTCAGTAGTCATGGCACGGTGCATGGGCTTAGTTGCTCCGAGGCATGTGGGACCTTCCCAGACCACGGGTGGAACCTGTATCTCCTGCATTGACAGGTGGATTCTTATCTACTGCGCCACCAGTGAAGCCCTTCTATGTCTACCTTAAGCTGAAACACACTTTCAGGACTGAGTGATCTTTGACACGCATAGTGCTGCCCTGAGAATTGGAGAGTGAAGCTGTTCTCACTGGGCAGAATCCAGAGAGGGATTCCCCTACTTGAAAACAGCCTCTTCTGTGGGTGAAGCTAAAACACTTTCATTTCCATGCCTCCTTGCTCTTCCCAATGACCCCTGCTTGACAGAGTCACTGAGGCCTAGAGAAGTGGATTCCAAGGTCACAGACTTGGCAGGAGAAGAGGGGCGGCAGGGGTGGAGGAGATACCTTTTCTGTGGGCTTTTCATCCCACTCCAACCCCCCCCCCCTCCCGCCTTGCCTGCCCATCTGACATCTCCATAAACCTAGCTCCTTGCCACCGGCTTGGTAGAGGTGATTAAGTAGAATTTAACTTTGGCTTGTACAGTTTTTCTGAGATGACCATACCAAGAATGTTACAAACTTCTGGAACTATAGGTGTTTGCACATCTGTGAGGTGGGGATGGCAGGGGATCAAAGCTATAATAGATTAAAATCTACATATTGAAAAACCAACTTGAATAATCAAGAGCTGTCAGATATTTTTAAGAACCATGATTTTAAATACTCCTGTAACGAAGTGGAACAAATGAATATACAAGTTAATAAACACATATAGGTAAATAAACAGAAAACCCTGGAAATGTTTTTTTTTTTTGTTTGTGAGTCAGCTTGAGAACTGGATGGAACTGGATTAGGATGCCAAGCTCTCACTGCTGAGGGCCCGGGTTCAGTCCCTGGTTGGGGAACTAAGATCCCACAGGCTGTGCAACCTCACGGAAAAGAAGCAAACATTCAGGACTTTCCCAAAAGAAAAAAAAATGGAGAGTTGGGGTCCTCGTTGGTAGCCATGGTAGAAACAGCACATTGAGCTATTGAGGGATGTTTGTTTCTTTTTTAAAAAAATTTTTGGCTACGCTGCATGGCATGTAGGATCTCAGTTCCCCAGCCAGGGATCAAACCTGTGCCCCCTGCAGTGCAAGTGCAGAGTCCTAACCACTGGACCCCCAGGGAAATCCTGGATGTTTGCTTCTTGATAGTAGAAACTGTGAAAACTCACACCTTTGCGGGCATATCAGTATCAGCTTCAGAATTGGTCCTAGGCTGTGCTGTGTGTAGAGCAGATATCTATTGAAAAGATGGCTGTTTTGAGTTTTAAAAGATGATGTGGCAGCTTTGAGAAAGGAGAAAGAGTACTTGGACTGTGTGGGGTATGTTCATTTCTGTAAAGTTTATTAGTGGTTAAAGCAGCACTTTACCTGCTCAGGTATTGTGCGGGGTGTAGTAGGAACAGCTTTCTACCCTTCTTCCATTCCTAGGACAAGTCACTTAGCACTTCTGACTTAATTTCTCCATCTGCAAAATGGCACTCTGTTGAACCTTGAACTGTTCAGAAATCCTTAGTGGAATCAACCCTCCCCAAACGATTGCTGTTTGTCATCTGTCTGTGTTTCTGTTGGGTGCTCAGAAATGAAGTCAACCAAGAAAGTGATCTGTGTGAAAATACTTTGAGAATTGTGAGATGATGTATAAACACAAAACTACTGAAAGAGACTCCTTCCCCAGCAAAACAGTAATGAGTATTTAAGCAACAGATAAGAGTACTTTTTGGTCCAGAATGATTGGGACGAAACCTGCAGGAGATGGGAGGAGCTGTCTGCATAACACACACACGGTGAAGGGTCCAAGGAGGTTTCTCTGTCTCTTTTTTTAAATTTTATTTGTTGAAGCTGCTAGGCCTCAGTGTTTTCCTGCTTTAATGAAGAAGGACATTTATACCTTTATGCTAGGCAGAGTTTGTCTGCTTTGTGGCTGGACCTTGCATTTAATTTCTCTTAGTGTTTCTTTTCACTTCTGCCACTTACTAACAGAATCTCCTTTAAACTGTCTTTTGTGATTGTGCTGAACTCATTGTTTTTTCTCTCTTCTTTAGAACCTGGACCTAAAGAGGGAAATTGTTAGGGTAGAAACAATGTATAAATGTATATGGATCTGTTATACTAAGTACAGTATTTTGCTGATCCTAAAGCTCAAGTAGGCTTCCCAGGTGGTGCTAGTGGTAAAGAACTCACCTGCCATTAAAGGAGACGGAAGAGACCCTGGTTCCATCCCTGGGTCTGAAAGATCCCCTGGAGGAGGGCATAGCAACCCACTCCAGTATTCTGTTCTGGAGAATCCTATGGGTAGAAGAGCCTGATGGGCTACAGTCCTTGGGGTTGCAAAAAGTTGGACACGACTTAAGTGACTTAGCATGTATGCATGCAAAGCTCAAGTAATGGTACTTTCTAGCTTTCTACAAAGCATCCCTCTGCTTTTCTAGTTCAGTCTGTCTGTATTAACATTAGCTAAAAACGAGTTCTCTCATGTCTAGTAAGCTCCCCCAAGCCACTGGGGGGCTGAATGAAGGACACAAGAAAGACCACCAACCCTCTGATATTGAGTCTGTCTAGAGCCAGAGGGTTAATTGCAATTGCCAGTAAATAGTATTCATTTAACAGATACTTACAGAGCTCCATTTGTGTGCCTGGCACTGTTGTAGGTCCTGAGCAGGCAGCTCTGGACAGGGCAGGGACCGTTCCTGCCCTCACAGAGTCCAGTGGGACCCACCCTAACCCGAAGTGATGCCAATTGAAAAACTCACCTGTGTGACCCTGAAATCTGCAGTCCTCCCTGACCTCCACAACTGAAGGGAGAGCTTAAACCAGGATGGAAAATAAGCACAACTCTTGGGTTATATTAAGTAATTTCTGTCTGTCTCTCTCATCTTCCTCCTCTTGCCCTCCCATTCCCCCGCCACCAGAGGTTGTGATTCATGTGCTAAACCTGGAGGACAGTACTCCACACTGACCAGGAAGCGGCCTGAAAAGCCATATCTGGCACCATAGTCTTCCGAATACTTAGCCACCTCTGAGTGAGAGTGCGGAGGAGGAAATACCATTGGAGTTAGCTTCCTGTGCAAACACAGGACTCAGAATAACGTTGTTTGTGAAACAGAGCAGTATATATAGTCTGATCCGAAGTGGATCAGGGCCTGTATCTACAGGATGGATTTATCCTAAGAAATAACATCAAGGTCAGTCAAAGTTGCTGTGAAGGAAATTACTGCCTCCATCACTCCTTCCTGATCTGAACCAGTTGTTCAGTGGTGGGATGAGGTGTTTTTCCACAGTGGGCAGTGATGGTGCCAGGCCCAGGAGATGATGCCAGGGGCCTGTAGACGTAGCATGGGCTCATTCTCCCACGACTAACACCATGGGTCTCCTAAAGCTTGTTTGCATGTGATGTGTGGGGTCCAGATAAACAGATAAGATTTCCCTGTGTAGAGCCATGGGTGGGGGAATCTGTCTGTTGGCTACCTCATTTATTTTATTCATTAAATATTTATTGCATTCCCACTCTGTGAGGACCTGCTGGGATCTTTTGCTGGGGTGGCTGTGGAGAGGACCACAGCTTTTTTCTTTTTAATATACAAGTATATTTGGTTCTTTTATGCTTTCAAGTTCATAGGAATGCTTACTGCTGTCCATTGGATGTCTTTAAGTCCTTTGGGTCTGCAGGTCACTATCAGATCTGCCAAAGACCTAGTGAAAAGTCTCTGAATTGGGCCTATTCTTGTGAAAATGGCGGTGCTCCCTGGAGATGGGAATGTGTTACTCTTGTGTTTGAGTGCAGTACAAATGATCCTGTGTGTGTGTGAGTCCTGAATTCCTGTAGAGAGTTCAGATACCACATTGTCAAGATCTCTGTGGTCTGAGTTTTGGATAGTGAGTAGCAAGAACTGGATGTTAAGGGATATCAGCCTTATCTCAAAAAAAAAAAAAATTCCAAATTTATTTCATGTCTGAGTTTGGTGAAGAAAGTGGGAGCCATGGAGTTCCTTGGCACAGACGCCCAGATGTCCTCGGAGTGCAGCAGGGGCGGCAGCGGATGCGGCAGCCTCATACAGAGCTGCTCGGAGGAGGTGTGTTTGGAGCCAGGGCTGCTGAGTTGGGCAGAGAGGAGCCCAGAGGGTGGGGGTGGCTTTGAGCAAGGCGCAGAGAGGCGGCCGGGGTGTGGTTTGTGTGCAGACCGCCCTGCAGACTCCCGGGAGGCGCCTTGAATGGAAGAGTTTGTTATACCCAAGGTAGGGAGAATTCAGGGGAGCCCCTGGGCTCCTCTGCACTTGTTGGGTTCCCATGAGTACCATAGAGGAAATGGTGCTGAGTGGAGAGGCTGGGTGTTGCAATCCTCAGGAGAGGGAATGTGGGTGCTGCTGGGCTCGCTTGGGGGTTCTGAGGAGCCTCTTCTCTCCCAGGAGAGCGAGCCGGGGCCCCAGAGTGAGATGGGGAGGCTTGGCCGAGACTGGATGTAGTGGCAGCCTGGACCAGAAGGACTGCTTTTTAGAGCTCTCTCTTTTTTAAAAAAACAAAAACCCCGCCAATTTTCCATTATTGTTCAGTGTGTGGAGTTCTTCTTGCCACCTACACTACAAATTGTCTTCAAAACCTAAATTGGATAAAAGTGAATAAGTTTCACCTGCTGTTTGTCTACATTTCAGTCGACTCAGGAAGCACTGAGTTGGTGGGGTCTGAGTAAAACATGCCTGTGATAACAGTATTCCCGATGGAACAAAGATGATCTAACGATTGGAAAAATATTAACATTTAAATTGAAGTTACCACGTTAACTCCACTGAATAAGAGAAGGGAAGCCAGCTACTGCCGTTCAGATTTCAGCTTTTGTCGCTCCTGGCTATGGAACTTGGGCAGATCATCTAACCTCTGTGGACCTCATTTCCTCAAGTATAAAGTGGGGTGAATAATAGTGCCCATTTCATAGTTTTGGGGAAACTTAAATGAGATGATAATGGAAAGCACTGAGACAGTATAACTATTCTACCGAATATATTTTCATAAACAAAGCAAGCAGGAAAAGACCAGGTGACCCTCAAAGCTGTTCCTCACCCTGAGCCCCTGTGTGAAGTGGGCTTTGTACGGCAGAGTGAGGCCACACAGTGTGGAAGGAAGACCCTTGGGCCAAAGCTGGGTCCACTTCTGGTTCTGCTTGTGCCCTTGGCTAGTTATGGGGCTTAAAGCAAGTCCCCGTCTCTCTCAGTTTCCTCATCTTCAAAACGGATGTGATGTGATGACGATGATGATGGAGAGGGCTGATAGGTATTGAGTACGAACACTGGGCTCTGTGCTTCATGGGGTTTACCTCACGACTGCCCTGTGAGTAGGTGTTACTGGTGGGGAAACCCTAAGTTACAGTTGGGGAAGCCGAAGCTCATAGTTCTTGTCCAGGGCCATGGAGTTGTTAAGGTAAAGCTGACGTCATCCGGTAGTCTTTGATTCTGTGTGTCAGTTGTTAATAGTTCCATAAGTTGACCATCTTCTTTTGCATGTAATTTTCTGATCATTTGGGCCACTCCTCCTTGGGTTGTCTTAAGGAAACACTGGATAATAAGCTTGAGCTCTGAGGTTAAATCATAGTTAATAAGCATTTCTGGAGTGTTTAGGTATTTCTGTGAAAGTAAATAGTGAGTTTTCCCCACCTTTATTAAATAAAATCTTATCTAAGTTGCTTTGATCTTAGGCAAGGCAGAGCTATGTGTAAATACTACAGTGGTAGAGGCTTTCTCAGCAGAGCTCTTGAATGAGGCCCTCTGTGGCCAAACATTTGGGTGGAAAACAGACATGTTTTGCAGCTGGAATTACCAGTTGGTTGTAGGTTTTTCTTAAACATTCCCTTCGCTGACACCCAGGTATTGCGGAAACCTGGGGATGGGCCATGGTTTTTGGTGCTCGGGAGCCGCGGGGTTGAGGTTCTGCAAACTGGAGTCACCAGTGTTGGACTGGTGTTTACTCTTTTATCTCCACCTTGTTCTCCCAAACCCCACTTTCGGCTGCCAGTAGGGTAGGTAGTTTCCCTGTGTCATGCTGTTGTTTGGGAGACTGATCCAAATAGAGACCGAGGTCACTGACTTGACAAGGGCGTCCTTTGCACTGCTTTGCCAACCCTGAGCTGTCCAGGTGTCTGGCTTTTACACTTGAGGGAAAGGTGATGTGGTGGCGGACAACCTAGGCGGTTCCTCCAGGTAATCTGCTGTCCTCCAAGGAGTGGAAGTTCTGATTTCAGGAAGCACTTAAGTGTCAACAAGGGACCAGTGTCATCTATGGAGGATGTGGGAAGTGGTCCCTGCCTGGCTGTATCCCACGGGATTCCTTTTTTCCTCCTGCCTGTGGAAGTGAGGTAATGGTGAAGGCACTCGCTGCGCTTTTGTGTTAACCTACAGCGAGGACTGCTGCAGGCCATTCCAGTGCTCTGACCCCAGTTAGAATATGAATCAGCAAAACTGTCGCTGGAGTTCATCTAATCATCTGCCTATCTTTTAACCACTAAGACTTATATTTAGTGACTAATGATCTTGTGCTCAAAGTGCCATCTCCCACACAAGTCCCCAGTAGTCTTAAAAAAAAAAAAAACAACAAAAACCAAATACACCAAACTACTGGCTCTGAGTGAGGACACTGACTTAGAAATAAATCCTTGCCTCTCTTTCCCTGCAGGAGTTGCCATCTTGGGATCCCATGGCTTTCTCTAGCGGGCTCTGGGGCCCCTGTGTCCACATGAGCAGAGCATTCAGCCAGCGCTGTTTCAGGTAACTTTTCCTAATGAGTTCTTCAAGCTGTGTCTTTGAGTAAGCCCCCTATCAGGACTGGGTATTGTGGTGACCAGAGTGGCAGTGGACTCTCAGGGAGGTGGGCTTGGGGTCCGGGGAGACTAGAGGACTAGATGGAGCTAGGGTTTGGGCAGCCCAGGTTGGGGGGTAGGTAACGGGGTGATGGTGCTGTTGGAGACGGGACTGGGAATGGACCTGGAGGAAGATGAGACCTTGCCTACCAGACTCTTCCAGTGAATCTGCTGTTTCTTGACCCCGTTGTTCCCTAAGTGCATTAAAACCTTCTCTTTTAAGAATAAATATCTATATATTTATGTGTGCAATGAATAACTTTGCTGTGCATGTGAAATTAACACATTGTACTTCAGTTTAAAACGTATATACAAGTGAATGAAAGTATAGGGCCAAATCCTTCTCTTTTAAAAATGTATGTATTTTTACCTCACAGGCTTATTACCACTCAAGCATGATGAAAGTGTGGCAGCCTCCCCCTTCCTGTTTAGATGCTAAGCCAGGACGGAGAGTGCAGGTTGCATTCTTGTTGGCAAACATGCCTTTTGGCCCTGTTCGTGCACTCATTCCGCAAGCGTTTACTGAACCCTGTGCCTGGGTTTGGTCATAGAGAGATGAATAAGACTTGCTTCCTGCTCTGGCAGAGTTCTCACAGTTGGCCATGGGAGCAAAGTTGGAAACAAATAACTCTAAGAAAAATGTGACCAGTATAATAATAGAGGCTTGTACAGTTCTTTGGAAGGCTCAAGACAGGGGCTGCTAATAGAGGAGGAAGCGGGGGGAGGGGGAAAAGGCGGACAGAGGCCACCTTCCTGGAAGGGAAGTGGGGGCAGGCCCTGTGCCGGCCCCCAGAGAGGGCCGTGAGGCTGGGCAGGCTTGGACAGCTCCAGGGGTTCCCGGCCCCAGGGCTCAGAGTAGATGTGTGAGTGGCAGAAGGTGGAGGATCTGAGAAGACAGGTACGTTAGGACCAGGTTGTTGACAGTGTAGACAAGGGGGACCACTGAACAGTCCCGAGCAAGGCAGTAGCCTCTGTTTTATATTCTAAAAAGAGGTCTTGGTTGGCAGAGTGAGGTGCGCAGGGAGCCGGTTAGGACACGAACATAATGGTTTGGTGTAAGAGTGTGAGCTGCTGGGTGAAGGAATTTGTTGATGGGGTGGAGGGGAGGGTCAGAGGTGTTCAGAAGGTGGTGCCAGTAGAGGTTGGACGGAGAGAGGTTTATGGCTCGTGAGCTAGAGTTTTTGGAGAAGCCACTGTCTAGGCAGAAAGCCAATCAGCCGGAGGAGGCTTGCAGGGGAGGCGATGAGGTCCCTGTGGGACCGACTGAATTTGCAGCCTCTGTAGGACACATGCGGAGAAGGCAGTGACACCCCACTCCAGTACTCTTGCCTGGAAAATCCCATGGATGGAGGCACCTGGTAGGCTGCAGTCCATGGGGTCGCAAAGAGTCGGATACGACTGAGCGACTTCACTTTCACTTCTCACTTTCACACATTGGAGAAGGAAATGGCAACCCACTCCAGTGTTCTTGCCTGGAGAATCCCAGGGACGGGGGAGCCTGGTGGGCTGCTGTCTATGGGGTCGCACAGAGTTGGACACAACTGAAGTGACTTAGCAGCAGCAGTAGGACACATGAAGAGCTTGTAGCTCTTCCTGTAGAAGAGCTACAGGACTGGAAGATAGGCAAGGCATGGGGCTGGAGATGGAGTTTACTAGTTGGAAATAACAGGAATAGATGACATCGCCCAGGGCAGGCATATAGAACGAGAGAGGACCCCGGGTCGCTCCAGAGAACCAGCACTAGGATCCTAGTGACAGAGGAAACTAGAATTCCCACTATCATCAGGTGGCTTATCATCAGGTGGCTTAATAGTAGCTCATTTGCCTTTAATGGTACTCTTTCTAGTGGGGGGAAATTAAAAGATTGTTAGCTTATTTTCAATTTCTGCTGTGCTGTGTCAAGGGACTCCCTAGGCAGACATACCCACTCGGATCTAATGGTTCCAGCACCAAGCAGATGGGACGTCTGGGAGTCAGTGTTTTCTGGGGGAGCAGGTTTTGCAGGCTAGGCAGGGGCAAGGCCTGGCCTGTAAAGTATTCCCTTAATCCTCCGAGGCCTGTTGGAAACCAGAGGCTTTAAATTAGGGCTGCCATGCCGTTCACTGTAACAGAATATTGGGTCCCCTTTAGAACCCATCCAGATCAAGGTCCTGACCCGGCAGCAGAAGCTGTAAGGAACTTCTTACAGTGAGGACACCTCTGGTGTCAGGGCCCTGCTGATGTGCGTGCTGCCAAACTGGGCCTGGCAGAGGCTTCTGTGCCCTGACTGGCAGAGCTGCAGGCCTCAGACTTCCTTCCTCTTTCACCAGCACTACTGGCAGCCTTGGCGCAATTCAGAAGATGACACGGGTGCGTGTGGTGGACAACAGCGCCCTGGGGAACACCCCTTACCATCGCCCTCCTCGCTGCATCCACGTCTATAACAAGAACGGGGTGGGCAAGGTGGGCGACCGGATCCTGCTGGCCATCAAGGGGCAGAAGAAGAAGGCGCTCATCGTGGGGCATCGCATGCCTGGCCCTGCAATGACCCCCAGGTTTGACTCCAACAACGTGGTCCTCATTGAGGACAATGGGAACCCGGTGGGGACCCGAATCAAGACACCTATCCCCACCAGCCTCCGCCGGAGGGAAGGCGAGTTTTCCAAGGTCCTGGCCATCGCTCAGAACTTCGTGTGAGCGGAGCCCAGGCGCTGGCCGCGGGGGCTCGTGGATGGAGCCGTTCTGAGAACTGTGCCTCTGCTGAGAGGGAGCCCAGGAACAGTGTCCTGTGGGAAAATAAACGCTTCCATGTATGTCTCTTCCTGAACTTTCTGGGTGTGGCCATGGGGTAAATGGCACTGAAACGGCTAAAAGGTGCCACTGGAGATGGTTGGTCTTTGCCCTCAGTAGCCTGTGAGCTCACCTGGGATTATCAGGTGCTGGAAAATTGAATTAAAAGCTGAATGTGCCAATTTGTAGATAAACATTAGAACCTCACTTTCTAGCCAGGCAGACTACTTACTTGCCTTCCAGAATGTCATCTCCCTGCATCAGAGGGCTGGAGGTGCTCAGTAAAGATGACTGGATTACTGGGTGAGCGTGAGTGAAGCAGGGGACTGATTCCTCCAGTGGACCGTGGGCTCCCAGCTCCGAGAGAACCTGCCCAACCTGCCTTCCTCCACCACGGGTTGCCCTCTGCTAGGCCCCAGCTGCTGCTCTGGGCCCAGAGAGGACAGCTGACTGCAGGAAGTGCCCTAGCCCTGGTGTGTGCAGACCGCCTGGTGGTGGGGCTGTGCAGGGGATTCAGTGATAGTTTAGCTCCCATTTGTTTGCTGGTGGTCCCCTTGTGGAGGTTCGGGCAGGGCTCATTCCATCCGTTTAAGTGGAATCTTTTTCCATTCATTTCTACAGTCGCTCTGCACTCCCATTGCAGGGGAGCTAAGATGCTGCATCCCCACGACGTGGCTAAAAAATAAAGTCACTCCTTTATTCGTTCAAAATGTCCTGGGCACTTCTCGTTATTAAACATTCCAGTGGCCTCTAGAGGCAGAATAGCCTGATAATTAAGAACACAGTGCTCTGTTCCTGACTCCACCACTTGCACTTAATGCCTTTGGGCAAGTTATTTCACTTCTCAGTCCCTCAGTTTCCTTGCCTGTCAAGTGAGGATATGATAATGATATATACTTGATTGGGTTGATGTCAGACTTCAGTGAGTTAGCACCTCTGAGTGCCTGGCAATCATAAGCACGTGGTAGGCGTAAGTTGTTTTCCATCCTCACTGCTCCGAAGCTGCCAGTGCTGGGGAACACAGTGAGGGTAAGCAGAGGTCCCTGTTCTCCTGGGCAGATCGACGCTGGTCACCTAATGACTCCGACATGCACAGGTCCCCAGGTGTAACAAGTGTGTGTGATGGCGGGGTGAGACTTTTTCGGTGGGACTGGAGGCAGTTTCCCCGAGGAATGGTTGCATTGGCTGCCTTCTGAACGAAGGGGCAGTGTGATACAAGTCAGAACAGCAGTCACCTGGGGGGTGGGGGAGGAGCGTAGGCTGCTGAGGTCACAAGGGAACCTTAACGGTATTGGGAATGTTTTAAATCTGGATCTTGGTGGGAATCACATGAGTGTACACACCTGTAAATAATTACTGAGCTGTGTATTTTAGTGCACTATATGTACTTTATACCTTAGGAAAAATAAGTGGACAGGCATTAGCTCAGTGAGAGGAGGGGAAAGTGGTCCAGACAGAGGGAAGAGGATGTGCAAAAACCCTGTGGCAGAAGGGACTGGGTAAGTCCCAGGGACTCGAAGGAAAAGCCACTGGCTGCAGCAGGTGAGCAGGAGGGAATGAGGGGAAGAATAGGCTGGCTGGGCCTGGGAAGTCTGCTGCATCCTGAGGGTGCTGGGATACTGCTGTAGGGTATTTAGCAAGCAGGGTTGGGGTGGTGGGAAGGAAGATAAAGTGAGACTGACTGGAGGGGCGCTGGGGGAGGCCAAAGTGCACCATGATGTGCTGTTGGCCTAGGGTGGAAGAGGGGAGCAGAAGCCTTTAGTGGGAGCAGTTGACTGGGCTTGGCAATGCTGGGGAAGGGCCAAGAACGGGTCCCTGGTGCCCGGCTCCCTTTGCTGGATGGTTGGTCCTGCAAAACGCTGAACTGGGTGCTCGGGGAGAGGCCCAAGGGTGGGGGAGGAGGAGCTTCGGGGGATCTGCACGGAGGCACCTCTGTGAGGTGTCCCGCAGGTAGCTGGATGTAAACAGTCTCTCCAGCTGGGATAGCGCTTAGGGTGTGTCCTGAAAGCATTTATGTGGATGTGCGTTTTTGGAGTTTCTCATGGTCCTTAGGTTTGGCAGCCCCAGATCCTGTGTTTTCCATAAGGACTTGCCTTTCAGAGGTAACGTGATTCCTCAGGATGATTCTTGCAACTAGTAGCTAGTTTCAAGGGCAAATCCTATCAGTGAGTTCAGCTCAGGGGGTCCTCCCATGACGTCTTGGGGTCTTTCATGGTTGGGGAGTCCTCCCCGTCTTGAGCAGAGTCTCACCGGCTGTGAATCTAGGTGATGACCGTCTGGTTTTCCCAGAATCAGTGGCTTCACTTGGAGCCTCACCAGCTCTGCCTTGACTGCTTGGAAGCGGAGGCTCTTTGTTTCCACCTTTCTGGTTGAGGTGTGCACCGGTCACCAGGGCTCCTCTGACCAAGCCTGGTTCAAGGGCCTCCAGGTGTTTTAGGAGTAACCGCCCTCTTCCGGGGCCCTCTGGAAGGGCTGGGAGACTGGCTGAGGTCTCTGCTCCACGCTGGGGCCTGCTTGCTCAGTGGGGAGTGTCTCTCTGCTGCAGCAGCTGCTACTTAGCAAGCCCTTAAGGCCTCTGCTTCCCAAGGGCTGCAGGAGAGAGAGCCCCTGTCCTGAGTGAAAGGAAGGGTGGGCTTGTCCTTCTCAGCCTGGCACCACCTGCTCCAGTCATCGCCTTTGCTCTGACCAGGGCAGCTTGACCAGAGCTGCCCTCTAGCTTGGAAGGGCACTTGCCTTCTGGGGTTGGGCTCACTTCTCCCCCCGTCCTTAGTCAGCAGAACGCGTGTCCATCCTCTCACGGGTCTGCAGGGCACCGGCCCGCCTCTTTGTTGAGGTTTGCCCAAGTCATTCAAATGACAGTCCTGCCGCCCTCCCCGCCCCC